ATCATATTTGTAACAATAGAGGTTACTCTGGCAGACCTTAGCAGGCCCACCAATAACAGGAAGTGCCTACGTACTTAGCTGGGTAGGCATGTCTGGTGCAAGCTTTCATCTCTCTCTCGCCCTCCTTTGGTTCCTTCTCTACAGATGGAGAGGGCATTTGAAACTGAAGGGAATGGAGTGTGAAACATCTCATTAGCATTCCACAATGACCCTTCCTAAGAATAATGTCTCGTCTTTTGCCTAGCCTTGAGAATTGATGTAAATTATCATGCTGGATGGGTTCAGGACATCTACATATATCTGACTATGTGGGTGATTTCATCCACAGTGGGCAACAGTTTTACTTCCCCAGTTCTATTCCTGTTTTAGATATACCTGGGAAAGCAGTTTATATCATCCTCTGGCCTTTACCAGCCCATTCTTGCAATACATTAAGCACAGGTGGTCCCTCACATATGTAAGTAGTCCTAGTGAAACTGGCATTGGAATCAGGAAACTAGGTGCTATTCCTGGTTCTTTCTCAGACTTCCTGTGTACCTCCTGGACAAGTCACAAACTTGTGGTGTGTTTTAGTTTTCAGCATGACTGTGATCAGGCTAAATTCATTAAACATGAATACAGTACTTTGTATTCATATAGCCCTTCCATCCAGATTCTCAAAGGATAAGATTAATGTTGATGATGAGATAAGAAGTCAAATCTCACTCCCTGGCCCTCATCAGGAATAAAGTAGCGAATCATTTAACAAACCAAAAATCACGACAGGGTTGACCCAAAGGAGAAAGTGTTTTGACTTCTTTCCTAATTTCCTTACCCACAACAAATGAACAAACCCATCCACACATCCACTATGGCCAAAGCTCATAAAAAGACATATCTGTACATCCCAAAACAATGGAGTATAAATTGCTGAGCTGAAAGCTCTGTCCAACCACAGCTGTACATAACTGTTATACAAGTTATGGTAACTGCTCAGAACTGCAATGATTTTTCTGCCTCCTATAAATTTCCCAACTTGTGGCTGCAGAGCTGCATTTTGCTTTTTTATTTTGGCTTCAGCAGTAGTCCAACCATTCTGCTGAATGGCTGTCTCATGAGGAAATATCATCTGAAAGTCACTGAGGTTTAAATACCCAAGCAGATCACAGAGGCTTTCAGATGGATTAAGCCTGAATAGTAAAATGCAATAAAATTACAATCTGGCTACTGTATTGAAGTTGGATTTTGTTTGGTTTTAAATGAAAGAAAAGATAATTGTATTTGTCAAGTCAAATCATGAATTAAAATATCATTGAACTTTGCACAACATGCTTCTGAGTTACCAGTAGAGAGAATTAATTATAAATATGTACAATTATGATAGATTTGATCTTCACTGCAACTAAAAATGCCCATGAGTGGATTGAGAACATCTGAAGTTTATGTTGATTTAGAAACTCTGGAATTTCTCATGAAGTTCTGGCTAAAATTGTGGAGCCTGGATCTGGTTTGCTATAGCGATCTCAAACTAGTGGATGTGAATGGCCAATCTGCCCTTCCCATATTGCTAAATGGGAGGGAGGCCTGTCTAAATGGGGATGTCCTGGTATGGAAAAGGTTACGAGAACCATTGGTCTATACACAATACATTTTGCAGCTTCAATTTTCTGAGCTGCCATGAAAACTGTAGCCTTCTATGAGTTGATATTCAGGGTAAAGTGGTTTATGTAATTTGACTGAAGAAGGCCCTCACCAGCATCCCAGTGTACTTCCCACAACCTTAAATCTAGAGGGATTTTGTCTGGCCATTGGGAATAAAAGGAGTTGTGGCTCCTTTAAGGGTTTAACCCAAAGAAGGGGGGGAAGAGGGGAGGGGAGGAAAAGTATCACCTGAGTCAGGAGCAGACAAAAAGGACTCAGGTGATCCTCTGGACCATGCCCATCTGAGGGAGGAAGGGTATTTATATTCTGTTCTCTCTAGGCAAAGCCCTCTTTCATATCATAGCAGCAGCACCTACTCTCCTATCTATGGGATCAGAGTAGGACCAGGTATTATGGTCTGCTATGGACATTGCTCTAGTCACCTTTTTTGGAGCTGGGAAGGAATTTCCCCCATCACTGACAGACTGGTCACGGTGGGGTGGATTTTCTCATCTTTCCCACAGCAGGTCAGGGACCTGGCAGGGTAGGTAAGGAGGTATGGTTCAAGCTGTCCCAACTTAACAGTTGACAGGTGTCCAGTGCAAGTACTCATTCTGTAGGGGGTCTGGTTCTCTGATAACCCCATTTCCAAATCCAGTTTAAGGGAAGGCTTCACACAAGAAAGCTGAGAAAGGGGTTCCTAGATCTGGCACAGCTGGGAGACAACCCCTTTTCCCCAGTCCCTTAACCCTATTATGAGGGGAAGGTCCCAGCAATGGACTGGGACCAAGGAGGGCTAACAACAGATCTCCCCAAATGTAAGTAGAAATGATTAAGGAAGGAATGATGACATGCACTGTGAGAGTTATTACCGGGTAGTTCCCAAATGAGTTAATACAGTTGTGCATATTTAAACTGCATCCCTCACATCTTGTCCTTCTCTCCGTGTGGCCAGGATCACGTAAAAGGCATGTACTCCACAATTTTTGCATTAATGCCAATAAAAATAAATAGTGTGATCTCTGTACAATACAACTTTCACTGAAATAAACTGCAGTTCCAGATGCTCAGTATCTCTCAAGAGCAGGTCCCACAAAATTTGCTACAACAGCTCACCTTAAAGCTGGGGAAGGAGAAAGAGAGAGAGAGAGAAAGGAAAAAATTAAACTAAACTAAAAAAAGGGAGCGGTCCTGGACATACAGAGTTGGATGTCTTTTTCTGTTCCTAAAATAATTTATTTGTAAAACTGAATATCTATAAAAGAGTAATAATCTAATTCTGCATATATTTTGACATGTGAAACGATCTAAATGGATTTCCCAGGTTCCTATTTAGTTTCCAGGTAAAAGTGAAGGCAAATTTATTCATTTCACTGGACAGATTATATTTTTAGCACAACAAAGTGGATTGTGACATGAATGTGGCAGTTAAAAAGACGAACTTCCTTTAAGCGCTGCTATTAGTCGTGTAATTAAAACTGCTAGTCTAAATGAATCAGTATTTGGCACCTAGTTAGCAAAAGTAGAACATCTTGTGAGCAGGGAGCATGCCAGCCAAATGCGTCAACATGAGTGTAGTCAGCCAAACGATCATCACATTGTTTTATGGTCTTCTGCATATAGAAAGTCACAAAAAGACTAACCGTGCCAATTGTGAATATAGCAGCATAATAGTCTGAAGCCATTTCTTTGAAAACGGAGTTCTTAGTTTTGCTTTACTGTTGGAGAATTTTATAATAATCAAACATTCTGTTTTTGCAATAGTGAAGACCTAATATTATAATGCAAAAAATAAGATATCAGTCATAAAGGTTAAATTTTTTAAAAGGACCTAATGAATTAGACACCTAAGTCCCATTTTTGAAAGTCTGCAGAGTATCTGTGAGCCCTAGTCTAAGGAGTTACTTTAGCTACAGTTGCGAGTGTATATTTTCAGAATCATTAGTATGTACCTGTAGAAAACTGAGATGTAGCACAACATATTGCATTTAGAATTATGGGAATTATATGAAGGGACACGGAATCCCTAAAACTAACATGTACGTAAGTTCTCATTTAGATGACAGAGCTTACTAGCCAGCAAAGAAAACTCATCGGGGACGTGGGCTGTTGACGTAGTTTCCCTGGCTGATGGTTCTGTTACAGAGCACAGCCAAGAGAAGGAAGGGAGACTACTAAGTTAAAGACTTTTCCCACCCAAAACAGTGACATGGAGAAGTGAGATACTGAACTTCAAAGAGTATTTCTTGTGTATATATCAATACAAATACAAATCTTTTCTTTTAAACTAAACTGTCACCTTAGACAGTTATATACATGTTTATCTCTATATCCATAATTATGTGCCATTATTTCCCACTACCTATGTGCTATACATATTATTGTGGCTATTAAAAATAAAGAATTTTAACAACAACCTTCTGTTTTTCCAAACAAGCCTTCTCCCATATACATAAGGTTTGATTTCAACAACAAAATACATCTGGCTGCCACACAGCAAAAAAACACATAAAATACTGAAGCAAAATCCATTTATATGGCATTGCAAAGGCTTTCAAATAGTGAAAGCCATATGCACTTTTTGGCCCTTATTTAGATCTGGGCCCCCAGAGGACTAGTTTGTACCCCGAGTAAGGGGCAGTGAGTAGTTGCATTGCCCTAGGAGCAGACCAGAGAATAAACTGTTTCTTGGAAAGTAATCATTTCTTCTCGGCTCCCCCTTGATCTGGGGAGTGAATTTCTTCACCCCTTTTTATGAAGCAGATTGCTCCTCCTATGCCATGTACCAAGTCAGCTCCTCTGGCTGGCAAGTGGGTGATTGTGCAGAGCAAGGGCTCCTCATGCTTTCCACCCCAGGGAATAAGAGTGAGATTGGGAGGAGTAACAGATGAGTAACCTTACTTCCTTGTACAGCTGAGTAAGGGTTGTGACATCTCACCCAGAGCAATTGCTGTGTCTCACATAAACTATAACAACATTCACAGTATTATAGAATATCAGGGTTGGAAGGGACCTCAGGAGGTCATCTAGTCCAACCCCCTGCTCAAAGCAGGACCAATCCCCAGACAGATTTTTGCCCCAGATCCTTAAATGGCCCCCTCAAGGACTGAACTCACTACCCTGGGTTTAGTAGGCCAATGCTCAAACCACTCATTTTTGTATGCTTACTTAAGGCATCTGTTATAAATATAACTCCAGCCTTAGATTCAGCATTTTGTTTTAATTTTAATTTTTTAAATGTCCTAGCTATTTTATGATATTTTAATGGTTTGTTTTTTCAGACTAACAAATTAAGATAATTGCCAAAGCATACTTAGTGCTTTTAGTTCCACAAGCGGAACTGTCAATACTATCAAAATGTGTAGCCATTTTAAACGAAGTCAGACTGTTTGCAAGGACATATTAACCTGATCCTTCTATAAACACAAGTAGAAGAAATATATCCAAAACATCCCATGCTCTAAGGGGTACTTGTAACACAAGCTCTATTGATTTGCACTGATGCATTCAGCTACCACTGGATTTTTCTATTGCTCAGATACACTACTGACAACACATTTGCTGCTAAATAATGAAGGATTAACTACCTAATGTTCTTCATTGTTCTTAGTTCACAAATTCTTTTAAAATATCTCTTCAGCCACTGATAAGAAACACTCACTCATCAATGGCTATCTACAAATGACCCACTATTAAGACTATTATAGAACTAGGTAAAGAGTGTCAATATTGTTTTTGAAAAGGTGATATTCAGGTGGTAGCAAAGAGAAAAAGTCAGAAAAAAATGTGATTTTTCACTAAAGCTGAAAAGCCTCAATATTATGAAATTTCATTTCCTTACCGCACTAGCATATTGTTGTTTAAACTGGAGATTTAATATAGTCTTAAGCCACTGTCTTTAAACACCTTGAAAATAATTAATTATTGGATAATTCCCCTGACATGGTTCCTTGTTATTTAATGCTACACATTTTACAAATTAAATACTGTGTCATTCAGTGTGGATTTTGTAAAGCAGAAGATTCAAAGTAGATGATCAAAGATACTTAAGGTGAAATCCTGGTGCCACTGAAGTCAATGACAAAACTCCCACTGACTTCAATGGGACTAGGATTCATCTTTAGGATTTTGGGGTTTTATCTGCTGCACATCACTGTAGTACCTGAGCACCTACCTTTTCTTCAGGGATCCTGCAACGTACATTTTCCAGGTAACTTGATGTATTTTCCACATTTGTATATCTCAAAAGAATATGAGCAAAGTCTTCCTCACTGATGGTGTTCATCCCATTAGAATAGGAAAGGAATTCTATTTCTAGAACTTCGGTTTGTAGGTTATCCATAAATCTAAAGCACAAATATAAAACATATGGAACAAAAAGTACTTTGCACTTCTACAACTCCTTTCATCCAGAGATCTCAAAGCACTTCACAAATTCAGTAATTAAACCTCACAAAACCCCTTTTTAGGTAGGTAAGGAATAAGCATATAAAAAGTAAGCACTGGTAGTACTGGTGTAGAAGCAGAAGCCAGGCTTTCTACTTGTTTGAATCTGGCAGAAACATATTTTTTTCTTAGTCTGATCAATGGTGCAATTTTTTTGTGGCACAACTATACTTAGTAATGTTCTTTAAGTGCCATTAGAATCAGTTTTCACCTATACTCGTAATAGGTAATAATTATGGTACCTGTTGCAACAATTTGGGGAATCTGTCTGTACAATTTATTTATTCTCTCTGAAACTGTAAACTCTGAGAATCTATCTTTACCCGACTACAGGCTCCATTCAGAATATGGGGTTCTTCGTCGTTGTCCTGCTACCTCCATGTTGGACTGAAATTCCAACAAGGTAGTGGTACAGGGTTGACAACGGAAGGCTGTTAAATCTGGATGGCCAGCCACTGAAATTTAATTGTTCCAGAGAAAAAACAGGATCCCTACCAGGAGAAATGGTTTATCAGGGGAGAGGTCACCTAACAGTGAAGTCACCCAGTAAGGGCCTTGGATCACCTGTGGAGGCTGATTCAGGAGTCACCTGACAAAAGGACTGGCAAGTTATAACAGGTGGGACTTAATCTATTTGCTCTCTCTCTCTGGCCATTTTTAACCATCTTAAAGATGTGCTAAACTGCTGTAAGGAGCTGATAAGGCAGGAGGAGTGGAGACCCTGCTTCTCTGAACACAGATGGTCCCCCAAAGAAAGAGTGAGCTAGAGTGAGGGGAAATGAGTGTAAGATTTATTATTTTAGTACGGATCTGTGTATTTCTTGTCTGATTAAATAAAGAACATTAATGTGTTAAAACTTGCGCAAAGTCTGCCTGTCTGTGTTATACGCTATACTTACTACATGTCACCAGAAAGAATTAAACTCTAACCCTGAAGGCTCACCCCCTTGGTGGGATTCTGGATGACCATGTGTGTCAGGCACACGCGCTGACTTTTGTTTTTGCCGGGGGAGGGGGACCTTCTGGTTTCACTGGGTGCCGTGTACGTGCTCTTGCAACCTACTGGTGCCTTGTGGGTGCTAAGCACCCCCCTTTTTTTTGGTGGGTGCTTGAGCCCTGGAGGACCCACGGAATCAGTGCCTATGCCATGTGTTTAAGCTACTGGAGTATCTTGGGGGTCAGTGCTGGACCTGGGGGCCTAGGCAGGTGGACTGAGGGTCTCTATTTCCATCAAGGGGTAAAAGACAGAGTCAGTGTTCAAGAAATGTACCAGAGACACCAAGGGAAGCAACAGTGCTTCAGCCTGCTAAGATCCAGGGAAGCTTAAAATATCCAGATGGTTGGATTCCCTCACAGCAATCTAGTTTGTGAGAGGTCATAAGGGGCAGGCAACTGGATCTGTGAAAACCTGTGTGGTATCTTTTGGCAATTTTTTACTTTTAAATTATAACCACTGTATGTCCCTAGCAGAAGAGATAGATGTGAAGACAAAATCTCTGACCCAAAGAGGTTACAATCTAAACAGAAAATGTAACAAGCAGGAAGAGGGGAAGAAGAAAAAAAACACAATTTAAGTGCTGAATCTCCTGTAGCCCAGTACAGCCAAGTACACGCTGACACAGGAGTGGGCATTAATTCAGTACTGGGGAGGGGTAAGAATACCACCTACTGGACCACAAACACTGCTTTCTATAGCACAGCATTTCTTTGAGTCAACATATGTAACTAATGACCTTCTCTAATTGATTAGCTTACAAAATCTGATGATAATAGAGGAATGTTTATTTGACCTTTATTAAAACCAAACCAAAACAACCTAACAAATTTTGAATTCTGTGTATTGTCTTAAATTTTCTTCATCCTTGTTTTAAACCTTTTCAGCAGAAAAGCTAAAGCTAAATAAAAATGTCTGATAAAAAAAGATGCTTATAAAGAGTTACCTTCTTTAACTAGATGTATTATGTATATATTATTTACTAACATATATGGAGGGCTTTGTTTATATAGAAAGTATAAAATCAAAGCTCACCTATAAAAATCGTCAAAGTTTAGCTCAGCCTTTCCCTTCTTGCCAAAAAAATGCACAAGCAGTGTGGTATCAGATAGCAAACTTGAGATGTCATCTGCACGCTTAAAAACCATTAGAATAAGACAATTAGTTAAGGCTCTAATTGCTTTACAAAAGCTTTATCAAATAAATCATTTTATAGTCAGTATTTAGAGGGGGGAAAGAGAAATGCATTATGCAGCAAATACTTAAGATATGAATTCATGCATCCTATGTTTATAATGTTAGAAAGGTAATTATAGTATTCAAATCAGTGATGTTATTTTAGTTATCATACACTTTCCATATAAAACATTCACTTGTTAATTGCAATTAGTACAAGAACACACAAAAAACCCCCCAATGAGTTAGTGGAAAATATCATGAGGAAAAAGGCATGAAAAATAAAACCAGAAACTTTAGGGAAAAATGGACTAGAAAGTAAGGTAGGCCCATGGATTTTTATATATATATATAAAATAAATGTATATATTTTATATGAAGAAATATACATATAAAATTAGTTTTTCCCAAACTGCACTTTCTGTAGATGCAATTTTGCAATTACATGAAAATAAAACATTGCTATGAGTGTGTGTTTTCAAACCAACTCTAATGGTGTACTTTATACTGGAGCCACTGGGAGCAAGAATAGCCCATAGTGTGAGGTCTCAGTAGCAGACAGCAACTTTATAATATGCAAATGATATATATGATCATAACCAGGGCCAACTCCAGGCACCAGAGCAGCCCAAGGAAGGGGGCGGCACATCCAGGTCTTCAGCGGCAATTCGGCAGCGGGTCCTCAGTCCCCCTAGGAGGGAAGGACTGGCCGCCGAATTGCCGCCAAAGAATGAAGTGGCGCGGGAGAGCAGCCGCTGAGGTGCCGCCGATCGCGGCTTTTTTTTTTTTCTCTTTGCCGCTTGAGGTGGCAAAAAAGCTAGAGCCGGCCCTGGTCATAACTGTCTCATGATATAAAAGTCATCTTGTGAGTCATAGGAATGAGGGAATAGTGAAGATAACTAGTATTACCACTCATATTACTCAATGATATTGTAAGAGAGAACCCTCATTAGAATACAGAGATTATGTATCATTCCACATTTTTTATATAACTAGTATTTGTTGCATTTACCTGTGTATATGTGTGTTCATTTTTCTCTTTCATACCTTGTTATAATGAAAGAGTATTTTAAGAACTGGATATAACAATTCAGTAGAATGAGGCCCTGATCCTTCAATGTATTCAACATGGACAGTGTTTCCTTGAAATCACTGGGGCTCTGTCTGAGATCTGCTGGCAGAACACAGCTTCCGGGATCAGGGCATAAGAGATTTTTTTGAAACCCCGGTCACTATCTGATTAATGAAGAAGTTAAGTGATTTATAAGAAATTTAGAAACAACCCTTAAATGAAGCAATCAGGCCACACATCTTGAGTGGTATTGCTTTAGTTCTATCCCAATTTATTGGACTTGATACAGGACTTCATGAAAATCTCCAGAGAAAATCTTCAGATAAATAAATTCCCTTTCTCCAGAAACAAGTGTCCTCAAAAGATACCTATTCTTAGAAATAACACATCCCCAGTAAAGGATGTTCAGAGTAGTAATTTGTGAGAATGTTTCTATTGACTTCTTTGGGAGCAGCACTGGGCCAAATGTCTGAACAAGATTTTGAAAGTGTAAAATGATAAATAGCACTATGCTTAGAAACAGGAATGCTGATTATGTGTACGAAGAATCTTACCTTGAAATGCACATATATGCCCTGATAAATTCCAGTAAAGACAAATACCAGATGCCCCTTTTATTTTTATGAAATGTAAATAATAATAGCTATAGAGGCAGAATATAACCAATCTGCTGAAATAAACCAAGGCATGGAAATTAGGAAATTAGTCATATTTTCTGGATAAATAACAATAAAATGAATGGAAGCAAGTGAATATGCTATGTCACAATGGCTGCTTATTTAGAAAAAGTTTAAATAATAGACTATATTTCTTTAAAGACGTTATCAGCAATAACAATTAAATGGAAACATAAAGGGCGCTCCCTATCCTATCTGAGGGAATGAGAAAAGAGGAGGTTGGATATGATGATCATCAATGGAACTATTATTTAAGAAGTCCTAAATATACATAAAGACTTGAGAGATCAATGAGGAAAGAGATACAGCTGCTTTTCTTATGTAAAATGCGCACAGTGATTTGGAAAAGCAAAGAGAAAGTAAAGATGTAGGAGTTAAGTTTGCTAATTATGAATATAGGGCCTAGTCTGATTGGATTTGTCAATGAAAGAAAAATTTTTTTTTACCAAAGGATGGCAAGGATGTGAAAATCACAAGTATTTCAGAGTTGGTTTATTAAAATTTCTGCAGCAGAAGCTGATCTTCAGTTGGCATAAACTGGCATAGGTCTACTGAAGCTAAGACCTGGCCCTAAAACTACACATTCTAAGAATAACCTATGAGTCAGCAATACTGACACTATTCAGATATGTGAATCTTGGTTCATTATGAAGAGACAAACTGCAACAGCAAAATAACATTAAAATGCATTTACTCAGCTGCACAATGTATTGATAACAAAAATGATTTAATATCCACATTATCCAAATCCTTTATGATATACTGTATTCAAGTTTGAAAGTTTTCAAAATTTTCCTATTTTATTGTGAAAATTAATGTTTCATATGTACTAGTAGTACTTATTAATCACTGAAGAGAAGATACTGAAGAACAAAAAAGGAAGAACAAGTAGTAACAACAAAAAACCCTTTCCTTTCATCATACAAGAACTAAAGGAATAGGAGAGATACCTTTAGTAGTTTAATAAAATCAGTTTAGGATTTTCAAGTTTATATTTCACAAACTAACTATTCTCCTCTTTATTCCTTTATTCTTCTCCAGGGAGAAATATGATGGCATAATATATATCTGTAGAAAGACATTTTATATCTTTCAATTAAGATAGCTTTACTCCTGAAATGAACTGATTAACTGGAGAACAATAATCACTGACTATTTGTGCTTTAATACTCTGTTGGCCTCCACTACAAGGCATAATGCACTGAAATAGAGAGACCTTGATTTTCTACATCTTTTAAACATTTAACCTTCTAAGTACATTCAAGCAGTTTCCCTCGAGCACAATGAACAGATATCAGACCGTAAGTTAGTCTTTCATCCTGTAAAAATTTTTATAACCTTGTTAGATTCAGGTTGCATTCATCCATATCTAAAGAACTGTGGGTACTAGCATATTAGTTAAAAAACAAAACATAAAACTAGAAGTCTTTCTACTATTTCCACTTGGTCAATCTCACTGAATGAAAAAAATAATAAAAAACCCTCAATATGCTTTTACACAGCGTCTCGAGTCACTGAAAACTATATCATTGTCCCTTGAGTCTTAAAAGCATTATATAACTTAATATAAGTGGTGAGCCTAAAATAATGGCTATATCCCTTTGATGATATTGTTCAAAGTAAAATGAATTCTGTTTTATAACAGGAAACAAAGCAACAAAAGAACACAATTTATTTTCAAGTAATAAGATATCAAACTCTAGTCTGATCTAATTTATTTAAAATCTTTTCAATGAGAATGAATGTTTGGCTTATCTGTTTTTGTTAAGAGATATTTTACACTAGTTCTAAGATATCTAATATAAACAGAAGCATAAAGGCAGACAACATATATCAGTCATATAACTAGGAAATAGGAGTTCTATTTGCAGCTCTTCAATTAATTTTCCACTCATGGACAAAGTCTTGTTAGTCCTCTGTGCCTCCATTTCCCCATCCTTAAAATGGGGATAATTACATGTATTCATCTTTGTAAAGAGACTTCAGATCCTTGAATGAAAGGCAGTATGGCCTTCTATGATGAGATAACTGGCTCTGTGGATATGGGGAAAGCGGTGGACGTGATATATCTTGACTTTAGCAAAGCTTTTAATACGATATTCTTGCCAGCAATTTAAAAAAGTATGAATTGGATGAATGGACTATAAGGTGGATAGAAAGCTGGCTACATCTAGTTGGTAGCCGGTATCAAGCAGAGTGCCCCAAGGTCGGTCCTGGGGCCGGTTTTGTTCAACATCTTCATTAATGATCTAGATTGGGGGTTTGCAAACTATGGCCTGTGGGCCACATCAAGCCCTCCAGTCGATTTAATGCGGCCTCAACTCCCGCTGGGGAGCGGGGTCTGAGGCTTGTCCCGCTCCCATGCTCCACCTGGGGATCAGGGTCGGGGGCCGCTCCGTGCATGTGTGCCGTGGCTCCCGGAAGCAGCGGCATGTCCCCTCTCTGGCTCCTACATTTAGAGGCAGCCGCGGGGCTCCACGCGCTGCCCTGTCTGCAGTCGCCGCCCCCACAGCTCCCACTGGCCGGGAACTGCAGCCAATGAGAGTTGCAGGGGCGGCGCCTGCAGATGGGGCAGCACGCAGAGCCACCTGGCCGTGCCTCCGCGTAGGAGTGGGAGGGGGACATGCTGCTACTTCCGGGAGCTGCTTGAGGTAAGCGCCGCCCAGAGCCTGCACCCGACCCCCTCCTGCCCTTGGAACCCCTCAGTCCCAGCCCGGAGCACCCTGCTACACCCCAAATCCCTCATCCCCAGCCCCACCCCAGAGCCTGCACCCTCAGCTGAAGCCCTCCCTCCGTGCCCCTGTCCCAGCCCTGATCCCCCTCCCGGCCTCCGAACCACTTGGTCCCAGCCTGGAGCACCCTCTTACACCCCAAATTCCTCATCTCCAGCCCCACCCCAGACCCTGCACTTCCAGCCAGAGCCCTCACCAACGCCCTGCCCCAGCCCGGAACCTCCTCCCACACCCTGAACTCCTCTTTTCCCTGAACTCCTCTTTTCTGGCCCTACCCCAGAACCCGCATGCCCAGCAAGAGCCTTCACCCCCTCCTGAACCCCAACCCCAATTTCGTGAGCATTCATGGCCCACCATACAATTTCCATGCCCAGATGTGGCCCTTGGCCCAAAAAAGTTTGCCTACCCCTGATCTGGATGATGGAATGGATTGCGGATGACACTATGCTGGGGGGAGAGGTAGATATGCTGGAGGGTAGGGATAGGGTCCAGTGTGACCTAGACAAATTGGAGGATTGGGCCAAAAGAAATTTGATGAGTTCAACAAGGACAAGTGCAGAGTCCTGCACTTAGAACGGAAGAATCCCATGCACTGCTACAGGCTAGGGACTGACTGGCTAAGTGGCAGTTCTGCAGAAAATGACCTGGGGATTACAGTGGATGAGAAACTGGATATGAGTCAACAGTGTGCCCTTGTTGCCAAGAAGGCTAACGGCATATTGGGCTGCATTAGTATGAGCATTGCCAGCAGATCAAGGGAAGTGATTATTCCCCTCTATTTGGCACAGGTGAGGCCACATCTGGAGTATTGCGTCCAGTTTTGTGGGCCCCCCCTCCCATTACAGAAAGGATGTGGATAAACTGGAGAGAGTCCAGCGGAGGGCAACAAGAAAATGATCCGGGAGCTGGGGTACATGACTTACGAGGAGAGGCTGAGGGAACTGGGCTTATTGAGTCTGCAGAAGAGAAGAGTGATGGGGGATTTGATAACAGCCTTCAACTACCTGAAGGGGGTTTCCAAAGAGGATGGAGCTAGGCTGTTCTCAGTGGTACCAGATGACAGAACAAGCAGCAATGGTCTCAAGTTGCAGTGGGGGAGGTTTAGGTTGGATATTAGGAAAAATTTTTCACTAGGGGAGTGGTGAAGCACTGGAATGGGTTACCTAGGTAGGTGGTGAAATCTCCATCCTTGGAAGTTTTTAAGGCCTGGCTTGACAAATCCCTGGCTTGGATGATTTAGTTGGTGTTGGTCCTACTTTGAGCAGGGGGTTGGACTAGATGACCTCTTGAGGTCTCTTCCAACCCTAATCTTCTATGATTCTATGATCTAAAATCACTGATGTCAATGGGAATCTTCTACAGTGAGTACAAAATATGTATGTTATATTCTATGTTGATAGAGACATCTCTCCACAGTCCTATATTTTTCAAATGCTCTAGCAACTTCAGGAATTTCCAATATCCATTCAGAATGAATCCACAAGCTGAGCTCAGCAGCATTTAACTCCACTGACCTATTGGGTGTGGGCTGTAGAACTACATAGCTTCACTCATTCCTCTCAGAAAGATACCAGAGAGTCAGGATGGGCAACTACTCTTCCTGAAGAGACCTCTTTTGTGGAGTCTGACAAGAACAAATCTTTTCTAACCTCCTGTTCAGTCTACACAGTAACCCTGAAGAAGTTGTAAGACAGTGCAGACTCTAATGTCACCTCACTTTATGTCACTTTTTCAGCACAAAAGTCCATGGTATCATCCAGATGTTAAGAGAGTCTGCGAGAGATAAGGATATGGACGAAAGCTAGCAAGCTCAAGCTTAAAACAAGCAAGACAGATGCGATTCTAATGAGTAGTGGGAAATACTCTGAGAAGCTAACCAAGGATATTCAATTTGTATTCAGTGATTTGAATGTTAGCTGAGAGAGTTTATGCAAATGTTCATGGAAGAATTAAACGAATGCCAAAACTAGATACTGGTAAGTTTTAATTATTGCAGTCTACAGATGTCAGTGTAATGCACCTTTAATGATATGCCTAATTGCCTACTGGACAGGTTCACATTAAAAAGGCTTCTAAAGAATACTAATCTTAAAATATTGTACATCTAAGTGTTAATTTTGCTCATGTAAGTACAACAGATGTAAAGACAATCTGTCTCCAGCTTTGCTGTACTTCAAGCTAATCCAGCTGACTGAAGATACCCTCAGTATGGGAGAATCCTCAGACATAAGACTGGTAAAGCAGCTCCTACGCTTCCGTCATTACTGTCTCTGGTGTGATTTGCATGGCTTGAGATAGAGCTGTTACTGGGGAGCTGCTACTGATGGCCAATGCTTGGGGCCATGACCAGCCTGGCCCAATGTACAGCAACCTCCTTCACACTGGGCACAGAAATGCCAGTTTGGCACAGAAATGCCAGTTTGGAGGATCTGGCTTTTAGCCTCTCTTTTAAATTATCAATACAAAGACATATACCCATTCTGTTTATTCAACTTTTTGAATGAATAATGAAATAAGTTTTTATTTTTATTATAATTTAGATACCTGCATACATTCATTTTTGATGGAAAAGAGATATTGCTAGTCTTTCACAATGATCGTGCAATATCTAAAGATAAAGACGCAGATTAATGTATTCAATTGTTTTAACTGCCTGAAACATCACTCTTTTCAATACAATAAATTAAAAAGAATCTTTAGCAAAGGCATACATAATATTGCTGACCATGACCTTCTGTAAAGATAAACTTGGCTAACCTATGTTTTAAAGCAAGTTAAAGGCCTGAACCCGCAAAGTCTTGGATACCTCATGAGAGATGCTGAGTGCTCTCTACTCTCATTAAAGTCATCACCTCACAGAATCAAGCCCTAAATGAAAAAGGGTTCCTAATTTTTCAGTTATATAGAAATCAGTTTTTTTAAAATTAATATGAGATAAATATCCTAACATCAAAGCTATAGTGATAGGACTTGATCTTCCAAATCTTGCAAAAGAGAATGCTAGCTGACTAGAAATGACAACTTCAAGTAATGCCACTATATTCAGCCACATTAATTTCATATGACAACTTTCCACATATGCTGTTTTTAAAAGAACTATTTTAAAAAGAAAGGAAATAAGATCCACAACAATGGGGAAAACATTAACATACAAAAGGAAATAAATAAAATGGCAATTTGTTCATGGACCAGACAGAGGTTTTATTATACCTCTGCAAGGTCCGAAAAGAGAGCTTGGCTTGTGCTACGTCTCAATGTATCCCAATAGCTTCTGGGGACAAGGTCCTTTCCATCTGTCTTAAGTACCTGTAGAAGTTTCAAGAAGCACAACTGTTTGAAAACCACAGAACAATCATAAAGAACAACAACTTATACACTTTAAAATCTTTTCTAACTAATCTTCAAAAAGAAGAAAACTGCATGAGTTTACCTTTGGTTTTTTTTTCCTGAACAAAGAAAAGTATTATATCACACTCCTTGTAAACCCAAGGCATTTTCAAAAGGGTAATAGTATCGATATCTATTTCCTTATTAGTCATAATGTGGGCTTTACAAAACTTAAACGATTAATGCAAAACAAATTAACTAGATTAAACAAATAGTCGCAATTAATCAATTTTAATTGCACTGCTAAACAATAATAAAATACCAATTTAAATGTATTATAAATATTTTTGATGTTTTTCTACATTTCAGATATATTGATTTCAATTACAACACAGAATACCAAATGTACCAAGCTCACTTGATATTATTTTTAATACAAATATTTGTACAGTAAAAAAGATTTTTTAAAAGTATTTTTAAATTCACCTCATACAAGCACTGTAGTGCAATCTCTTTATAGTGAAAGTGCAACTTACAACTGTAGAATTATTTTTTTCACATAACTGCACTCAAAAACAAAAAAATGTAAAGTTTTAGAGCCTACAAGTTCACTCGGTCCTATTTCTTGTTCAGCCAATTACTAAGACAAACGAGTTGTTTACATTTACAGGAAATAATGCTACCAACTTCTTATTTACAATGTCACCTGAAAGTGAGAACAGGCATTTGCATGGCACTGTTGTATCTGGCGTTGCAAGGTATTTACATGCCAGATATGCTAAACATTTGTATGCCCCTTCACACTTCGACTTGTAGATTGCGCTTTTAAAAATCTTTTTTACAGTGCAAATATTTGTAATCAAAAATAGTAATATAAAGTGAGCACTGTACACCTTGTATTCTGTGTTGTAACTGAAATCAATATATTTGAAAATGTAGAAAAACATCCACAAATATTTATAATAAATTTAAATTGGTATTCTATTATTGTTTAGCAATGCAATTAAAACTGTGATTAATTGAGACTATTTTTTTTAGTCTCACGATTATTTGCGATTATTTTTTTAATCATTTGATAGCCCTACTATAAACAGAAACATTCTGGAGTATATGTAAAGTGAAAATGTATTGGCAAGCTTGTATTATTAGTCATTTCATCATTTTGTCAACATATTAATGTATAAATAGATTAGGCTGCTTGTGATAGGGAGCTTGTTTTCTGATTTATCAAAGCATGACATGCACCAATAGCACTATCTAAATAGTTACAAATAATTTAATTCCAACAAAAGATCCATCCTAGTAGTGTTAAGGAAAATAAGAATCAGGTCCACTGAGACCAAGTTCTAGTTGCAGGATATACAGCAAGAAAACCTGATTGTGGGTGTCCACTGATCAAATTTACCATGTGCTCTGTTTGAAAGAACATGTAAGCCATATCTTTTTGCCATGGAGGTGCTCTGCAACTATTTTAGAGGCTTGAGACACTTACACCTCTTACATTTTGCCCCCTTCCGCACTTTACAACCACCCTTGGAGGTCCAACATGACAGCTTCCATCTTTCTGGCTAAGGAGAACTAGATAAGGTGATATTGGAGGCAGTCAAGGCTTCTTCTAGCTTGGTTACTGTTATCACTGTTGAATGTTCTGTTGCACTTTCTCCCATGCCCTTTCCCCCATTAGTCTAGGCCTGATTCCCTACCTTCAGTGCTCCCAACTCCTGTCAGTCTGGCAGAAGAGACAAAGACTGGGAACTAAATTCAATCTTCCAATTACAAGTGGGAAAAATATCCTTACTTTTGTTTTTTAAAATCAGCATAAATTGTTGCTATTAAAGGTCTTACATGCTCATAAACTACAGAATACTCTGCCCCATTGTACACTTTGCAGAATCCCGTGGGATTCCTTTTAGGATTTTTAGCACATCTATATAGCCACATAGATGTTGTGAGGAGTATTCTGCAGGTCTTATTTTTGATTTTCCACACATTCAACGTCATATGTACTAAGAAAATTTAAACAGTTGACAATTTAGAAAGGAGACCTTACAATTTATATTTTAGGAAAAATCTCTCTTGAAATATTATTCTCAATTCTCTGTTAGCACAATATTTCCTCAGCTAACATATGCAGCCTCCACGGCACTCACCTTCCCAATCTAGCCAGTAGTAAAATATGGTTACATGACTGAAGACATCATTTAAGTATGTCTTATCAGTGTAATCCATGCTCATGGGGCTATCATTTAATTATTATTTGCCTGAAGATGAATCAAAAATCAGAAATGTATTCTGAAATATACTTTCTCTTAATAGTAAAGAGCAATAACAATGTTTTGACACCAAGCTAACGTGTCATCTTACTGAAAAAGAACAGAGAAAAAAATTCACAGAGATCTCTTGGGTGAAGTATTTCTGCTTATTGTAGTTCACAATATTTTTGCCTGAAGAGAAATATCTTTAATTATATGCTTAGAAATAAGGTATTTTACTTTTGCATGTAGTGGCATGCAGGACAAAGACTTAAATTAGTTGAGATGCCAACCTTGTATATTGTTTAATTTCTCTGAAAATTACAAAGATTTTATAAACGAGTGTAAGACAAAAATGAACAAGATATTCATTTTGTGCTTTCTAATAAAGTCAAAGCAGAGAGTCATTACAAACTTAAATTTTGTCAAATAATTTTTAACTCCTTTTTAAAGTAAGCTTACTTAAATCTGGCACTTATTTATATACTGTATTAGAAAACAAAAATCTAAAATTATATTGTATGACAATAGATTTTTAGCCAATAGAACATTAACCCTTTGGTTGATTTGGACCATATATTAAAAAGATAAATATACTGTTCCCACGCCATACAAACTCTGTAATTACCAAAGTCTTACATACCATAGGTCTGAAGATACAGTAACTCCTCGCTTAATTTTGTAGTTATATTCCTGAAAAATGCTACTTAAAGCGAAATGATGTTAAGCAAATCCAATTTCCCCATAAGAATTAATATAAATGGGGGGTTAGGTTGCAGGGAAATTTTTTTCGCCAGACAAGAGACTATATTTTATATATATACACACATATACACAATATAAGTTTTAAACAAACAATTTAATACTGTACACAGCAGTGATGATTGTGAAGCTTGGTTGAGGTGGTGAAGTCAGAGGGTGGAAGTGGGTGGGATATTTCCCAGGGAATGCCTTACTGCTAAATGATGAACTAGCACTCGGCTGAGCCCTCAAGCGTTAACACATTGTTGTTACTGTAGCCTCACACTCTACAAGGCAGCACAAATGGAGGGAGGGGAGACAGCATGGCAGAGAGAGACAGAGACACGCACCGTGTGTGTGAGAGAGAGACTCGCATTGCCCCTTTAAGGACGCTGATCCCACTCTAAGTACATTGCCTTTTTAAGTAGATCAGCAAGTTGAGACTGCAGCTGCTGCCAGCAAGCTCCCTCCATCCTGTGGAGATAAGGTTGAGGGGGACAGGAGCAGGGGAGGGGGACACCCTGACATTAGCACCCCTCTTTCTTCCCCTCTGCACAGCAAGCAGGAGGCTCCTGGGAGCAGCTCCAAGGCAGAGGGCAGGAGCAGCACATGGCAGTGGGGGGCCGGTGAGCTAAACTGCCTGGAAATTGATAGTCTGCTGGAACTTAGGGGAGCTAATGGGGGGCTGCCAGTCCACCCTGGTTCCAAGCCCCCACCAGCTAGCTCCAATGGGCTCCTCTTCCTGCAAGCAGTGGACAAAGCAGGCTGCTGCCAAACAATGTTACAAGGGAGCATTGCGCAATTTTAAATGAGCATTTTCTCTAATTGATCAGCAATGTAACAACAAAACAACGTTAACCGGGACGACTTTAAGTGAGGAGTTACTGTAGTCTATCACACGACTTTGGAAGAATTCTCTCGTCTGAAGTATGGAATCTCATTCTGGGGAGCTTCCAGAAAGATCCATAAGAGAGTCACCCAATATTAAATACAATATACTGGACCTCTACAAACCAAAATTAAATTTTCTACAATTTTTAATATGCTGCAAGTAACAACTGTAAACTGTTCTGACCAGTATAAGGTTAGGTGCATTATAATATATTTTGTAGCTAACATTCATTAAAAGTCTGAACAAAAGATAAAAACTGAATACAGTTAGTATGCCTAACCTTTTCATTTCACATTTAACATCATGTTATGAAGCACTTTATCTAAATATAGATAAACTGGTTTTGATCCAACTGCTGATGCATCATGTTGATTATGTATATTTTAGTCAATGAAACTTCATTTTTTTAAAACATTAACTAAAAAGTTAGACAAGAATATCTCTTCTTAAACCATAAAATATAGACAAAATATGCCAAATAAGTAAAAAAAATGTTCAACATAAATCACTGCCTCAAGAAGTTACATATACTTTTGACCACCTCATCCTTTATTTAGATACACATACTATTACATAATTATTCATTGAATTACCTGTCTTATTGGTGATGTACTTAATTTATCTGACAAAAACTGATTAGTACTGATGAAGTTAGTATTTCTGAAGCATGCACATTTTATTTTTCTACATGTTACTTTTATAATAACCATCAATAATAAGATTGCATTCAGCTAATCAAAACCCACATGCAACTCATGCTGTACTAGTCTTAATACACATTCACAGCATGCACCAGCTTAGCTCCAGAGAAATATCATGTGTAATATGAAAAGACAGAAATAATCAAATTACTCAGACCCATTTATAGATACATCTTATGTAAGATGTAGCCTTCAGAGCTTGATACTATGAAGTTCTGAGTACACTCAATTGCCCCAGATTTCAATGGAAGCTGAGGGTGCTCAGGACCTCAGAGTTTGGGCTTTCAATGATAGAAATATAAAAGTGTTCATTATTCCAATTCCAGGTCCACATTCAATAGCATGCAAATAGATGTAATTCACCATTAGTACCACCCATTTCTTTTATTTAAAACAATTTAAAACCACCACTGTGCTGGTTTATTTTTCTAAATGTGAGTATAAAAATAGACTTTTTTTTTACTAGAGTCAGAAAATTATTATAAATTTAGAAATGCTTAAAGGTAAGTTTTGTTAAACTATAAAAGGAAGGAAATATAGAGATATGAAGCATTAAGTCTTTCACGCTGACATAGGGCATGATCCAAAGCACACTAAAGTCAACAGAAAGGCTTCAATAGACTTCAAGTCAAGACTATAGAGCATACTTTTTGCCTTACTATCATCTTATTGAACAGGTATGTATTTAACATGTCTGTGCTGCCTTACCTGGGCATAATTGTATGAAAGACAAAGTGACAGAGTTAAAATGTAGGCATGATCAGAAACAGTACTATGTAAAAATGGCACTGCATGTGTTCAGTTCAGGGATAAAAAAGTTCTTACCATTTTTTATTCTTATTAATGCTGCACAGCTACAAAAGTCATGGGAAACAGAACTGTATATACAACTTCAAATCCTAGCCCCTTTTCTATAAATGCAGTCACAAACTCCATCCAGACTAATTATCATGCTAATCTGGCTCAAAAGAATGAATTCCTCCCCATATAACCATGAAGACTGAGGCTTGGGTTCTTCCCTGGCTTTTTTATGCTAGGCAACCGGGGGGACCTTTTTAAAGGAGTCTAAATCTGCTCTACTCTGAAAGGTCAAAGGACAGAGTTCATCAATCTGAAAATTCCTTCCACCCTCTGCCCCAAGAGTAATCAAGTGTAATAAAGTCTGTCCTCATCTTGGGCTCTCTACCATCAGCCCCTGTTCTCATCCTACTCTGAAGTAGTTTTGTTTTATTTTATGAACAAACAGTGCAAGAAAAAAATGGTTGAGACCTTCTCTTCCCCTATGCCCTATTAGGATAAGATGTTGGGAAACTGACCGAACCCTAGGAATATGGTTATTACTGAAGGCTCTACTGTTATGTCTCCCCTACCCCCTATTTTTATTACTAATTGTTGTTGGGGGACTTTATTTAAATAGGTTCACCACCCCACCCAGAGTAGGTCTACAACTCCTTAATACAGACCAGCTCTATTTCTCCTTTTTACCTATCCAGAGGCATCCATTTCTCCTCTGGATGGGCCAGCCTGTTACTCTATGCCTGTAGCAAGCATCTGCAGCCTTCTATGGCCCTGAAGACAGAGTATACTTTTGACTGAATAAGACCCTATACTAGTAAAATTCATTTACTTGATAAAGAGCCAATTGTTATAACAAATGATTCCATCTCACTGGTGAAAACTATATACACAGAAAATATTTAGAGTACATACACTGTTAGTAGAAGTATGATATCCATAGAGTTGAAGGCGCTGACATACAGCAAAAATGGTGAAGTGAAGTACCACATTTCAGAATGAAACCAAAAAGAAAGAGAAAGAAGACAACACAATAGGTTAGGATAGGCAAGTCTTTATCTTACATGTTACTAGAAACGTTGGTATTTTTTTTAAATGGCGGAAAGCAAATGGTTTTCTTTTTTTACATCTTGTTTTTAAGACTCTTAAAACAGAAAAAAGTATAGAGCTGAGTACATTGCAACCATGATAAATTTAAGTTACAAGAAATATGCTATTCTACCCCCCTATTTTGTCTCTGTAATATTCTCAAAAGTTTTCCTTCTAGGATGAAGTTTCTTTTGCTTAGACTTGGCCTAAACATGTCAATAAAATTAACTGAGCAATTAAAAATGTTTGCCAATGTGAAAAAAGTTGTGTCCCTTAGGGTGAACAAATATTCTTTTCTGTGCTTGGGTTATTCAAAAATGTGGTAGCTCCTAACATTCAAGTTTCTTGTGGTTTGGGGGCCAGCCTCTGGGAAGAGAGCACACAGACAGCCCCAGATAAATATGCTTTTATGTTATGCTTTTAAAATTCAAATAAATAAATAAAAGGATTTTGCTGTACACAAAACAGTTGTTGAGCTGAGGGCTAGAATCTATATCCCCAAGTGGCCCGGTACCCATAATGGTAGCCATAGGCATAAGAAGCAGATATATCCAAGTGGTACCTCCAATGTGGGGTTTTGGCCCAATCGATTTGCACAGTGCATGAATCCACCCATTTTCCAAAGCAGGATTGGTAGAGACCTACCACTGAGATTACAGGGACATAAGCCCCTGCTGCTGCCTCACCTATTGCAGCCAAACCACAACTTTTACACTACTCCTTGGCCTTTCACATACATAAAAGTAAACCCCAAGATTTGACCGATAGTCTTCAGTAAGAACAAGTTAATTTGAAATGAAGACATATGTTTCACAAATAGTTATCATCAATTGAAAAAATGTAGTGGTCATGCACAGTACTTAATTTTTGTGGCATTTTTAACTCACACAGAGGGAAGATTTTCAGACATACATATACATGTTTAACTAGTGATCTCTCTGGTGAACCATATTCAGTGATCTTTCAATAAACCTTGTTCACAAGAACAATGAAAATAAGGTGCTTCAATACAAAGATTTCAGTCTGAGTACAAAATCATAAATTAAAAGATAAGCAAACTAAGAAGCACATTTCTTCAAATGTGTCAACGGATTTGGGCTGAAATTAAGTATGAAAATAGTAAGTCCATATGAACATTTCTGAGAAAATTATGAGGGAGAGAGAAAAGAAGATCAGCATGAAGGGAGTCTTTCAACTTACATTTAAGATGGTAGTGAGGTAATTCACTCTCATTATGGTAGAAGACTACATTAGAAAGTCTACTAGACTTCTTAGATTCAGAGTAAATTATTGATTTAAAAAATAAAATAAAATGCTACTGTAATTGTATTTTAAAATAACAGCTATGTATATTTTTCCTCTTTGGGGATCTTACAACATTTATTTTTTCAGGAACTTTGTAGCTCGCTTTTAGGTCCAAAATGATCCTATTTATTCTTGGGGGAAATTCTGCGCCACTGCACATGTGCAGAATTCATTCCCACGCAAAACTTTTTTTTCGCTTCAGAAAATATATTCTGCTGGAGAGGTGCTGCAGTTATGCCTTTCAACCAGCAGGGGCTGCTGTGGCACCAGAACAGAGAGCAGCCACTTCTGGGCAGGAACAGCCCCAGCTGTGGATAGGGAAGAGACGAGGCGGTGTTCCTCACAGCACCCTGCCTGTGAGGCTGGGTCAGGAGGCACAGGATATGGTGGGGGGACAGGCAGTGTAGGTCACATCGAGCTGCTGGGGTGTGTGTGTGTGGGATTCAGAAGGACTAGTGGGGAGCATACTGGGGTGGGAGCTGAATGGGAGTGAGGGTGCAGGGACACATGGGGGGGAGATGGGATGGCTGAGTGGGGGTGGAGGCACACATGGGGACAGAGGCAGATGTGCCTGACTGAATGAGAGAGGCTAGGGGTCAACCAGGGTCTGCATGGGGGAGGCTCAATGACAATTCTCCTCCCCCCAAAACCCCAAATATATTTCTCTCACCCACAGCTGGGCTCTTTCCCAGCAATTAATATGCCTACTAAGGATTCTATTTGTCAAAAAACATTTCCTGAATCTTTTTTTTCCATATTGTTACAGACATACCTGCCCACATGTATTTTGAAATAAATTACTAACCTAATTGAAATTGGTGTGATTATATTGTGTTATTTTGACAAATAAAATATGCAGAATTTTGTAGAATTTTAAAATATTGTGCATAGATTGTTTTAATTTTTGGTGCAGAATTCCCCCAGGAGTACTTATTATTCTCCTCTCAATAAACAGGCTTAGAATCAAATTGATCCTTTACATTGTAAGGAGTTATGTGATTCGATATGGTATCTGGAGTTGCTCAGAAATCTCAAAAGTGATTAGTAACATTAAATAAATATTCTTCTTAATTAAATAAATATAACCACACTTTTGAGCTACATAAAAAAATTCAAGAATCACAAACCTACAATTATTCTAATTTTACTTACCAACATTATACGTTTCTCTTCATCTCCTTTTCTTTCTCTCTTCTCATTTTTCTTTCTAAATATCTCTTGAAGCTGCAAAACAAGCCAATTTTATCTTCTGATTCAGAAACAGAGCTACTATGCACGTAACAAACAGTGCAGAATTGCCCCTGTGTGTCAATATGTCTACATACACATGCTGTAAAAAGTTTAGCTATTAAATATAGTTTTAACAGAATTATCATTTTATATGACCAGGGATAGATAAATGTTCCAAAACTGTACTACCTTATACTCAGACTCTCACCTTCTAATCTCCAGCTCTCCTGACCCCCTTCTCCTCCATATGAAAAGGCAAAAATAATTGTTTGTTTTTAAATAAAATACAATGTAAACAGCACCCTTAGGGAACACATATTTTAGAGCAAGGGCCTCAGGGTCCTCAGAGTTTTACATCATTCTCATCGTTTTAGTATTTGAAACTGGACGAGACAAATTCTGGAGAATACACTGTTGGGAATAATGCTACAAACCCAAAGTGATGGACCAGATGACCTAATGGATTTTTTCCTATCTACAATTTCTATAATTCTATGAAAAGTCACATCTGTGTCTCTTACTCATACCCATGAAATAATTACTTCTGGTAAACAGAGCATAACTCCTGGCTCATGACCAGGAGTTATCTGGTCATTCTATTGAGTCTATTCTATTGACAAGCTATCAGTGTTGCAATGCTACTGTGCCCCAAGACTAAGGAGCAGGAGTGAAGCTCTCAATCTCAACCAGCAGTGACCAAAGTAGCAGCACAAATCCCTTAATCTTTTGAACAACAGAAAAAGAATCACCTCTATACTATTCTCTGTTTTGACAGCCTGCAAAACAAGCATCTGAGATCAAAAATCAGATCTGGATCCCTTGTGTAATAGCACAATTAATCTTAAGGACAATGTTTCTATGGTCACAGGGTACAACAAATTAATTACATTAATTTCATCACCTGAATGTGTAAATCAAGAAAATAGATCACTTATCATTAACTACTTAGCAGTGATAGTTCCAGAAGAGTGAAATAGTATGAATTTTCCATTTAAATCTGTATTACCTTACAACTTCCATCACAATATAGAGCCAAAAATCATAGTAAAAGAAGAATCAAATGTGTTTATAATCAAACCTCTTAAAAAGGATTAGCATAATACCCATGCATGGTTACCTAAATCTTTATAAAGTCCATTTATATATTATGTCAATCATATGTTAGATATTGTCAACTGCAAAACATAGATTAATGCAGTATTACGTTTCAGAACTTATAGGCTAAACAGCCAAAAAATGCAAAAGTGTTCCTATAGCAATGTTAATTAGTCCATGTTGCACATTTAAGATATGTAGTATTTTGGTTTACTATTTACACTGATGAAATATATATCGTCATTTACACAAAACTATATGTACAATTTAGACAAATTAATGTTGCTGTGAAAACCTTAATTTATTTATACTAAACCTACATGGGAAATAATTTTCCCATCCCATGAGAATTTGAGATTTCAAAACATTTTCTCATTCCAAATTCAGATGAAAAGTCAAAATTTCAGTTTTAGCAAACTGATAACCTGTCTTTACTATAACACAATGTAACAAGTAACTCATTTGGTTATATGATGGATGAAATACCACATAGTTGGCACTCATATACTATACACTGCATAATTAAAGTAATTATACAGTTAAACTGACTTGTATAAAGTGTAATAAACCTTACTATTAGTGTGATATCATGGTTTTCAGTACTTTTTAAACAGTTTATAGTATATCATATACAGGGCCCAATTATGCCCAAGATTTGCATTGTGTCTCTCAAAAGTTTGTAATATTTTATGCCCTATAGGTGCTGTTGATATGTCAGCTGTTATGTTTCCCCTGTACACAAAACACAATACACATTCTAAATCTAGATAATTTATTTTTTCAGATCAAGGAAAACACCAGAGCCAGATTTGTATATGCAGTCCAGATTCTACTCATCGCCTGAGTAACAGAAAAGAGCTACATCCTGACTGCAAGTGGCTAATTGAGAATTCCTCCACGGGAGGGAAAGACAGAGATCTCATCCGATACAATACTGATGGAGTGACTACTGAACTCTAACTTCTCCCCAACATCAACTTCTACTCAGGGACTATGTCAGAACATTGCTACACTTTGCCAATTCTCAGCAGGGCTATGCGTGCATAAGGTTCATAGCCAGTTTACATCAGTTAAGGCCTAAAGCTTACACCAAAGCTGGGGCTGGAGCCACTACGGCTTGAGAATCAGAGCGTTAAAACTGACTCCCTGATGGCCTGCTTGTCACAGGAGGGGAGGTGCAGATCTTGGCATTGAGAAGAATCTAGCCCATAAAGTCCCATAAAAAGGAAACAGAGACAAAGGCCAAAAGTGGGAGAACTCAGCACATTACACCATGTGTTAGCATTCTACTGTTCAAAGAAGACATATCAGAAGTCAATTTATTAAATACAATTTATTCCAAACTCTTGCTAGCATAAACAGCACTTCTGAGTCTTGGAAAATGATTCTTCAGCAGGGGAACTCTCTGTTTGCAAGAGACAACAGCAACTTAATTCCTTTATTTACAGTAGTACCTTGAAGATACGGACACCAGAGTTATAGACTGACCGGTCAACTGGACACCATGTGAAACCAGAAGTAACAAATCAGTCAGAAGTAGAGACAAAAAAAAAAAGGCAAATACTGTACTGTGCCTGTATTGCAGGGGTAGGCAACCTATGGCACGCGCGCCGAAGGCGGCACGCAAGCTGATTTTCAGTGGCACTCACACTGCCCGGGTCCTGGCCACCAGTCCGGGGGCTCTGCATAGAATCATAGACTTTAAGGTCAGAAGGGACCATTATGATCATCTAGTCTGACCTCCTGCACAACACAGGCCACAGAATCTCACCTGTATCAAACCTGTGTCTGAGCCATTGAAGTCCTCAAATCATGGTTTAAAGACTTCAAGGTGCAGAGAATCTTCCAACAAGTGACCCGTGTCCCACGCTGCAGAGGAAGGCGCAAACCCCCCAGGGCCTCTGCCAATCTGCCCTGGAGGAAAATTCCTTCCCGACCCCAAATATGGCGATCAGCTAAACCGTGAGCATGTGGGCAAGACTCACCAACCAGACACCCAGGAAAGAATTCTCTGTAGTAACTCAGATCCCTCCCCACCTAACATCCCATCACAGGCCATTGGGCATAATTATTGCTAATATCAAAGATCAATTAATTGCCAAAATTAGGCTAGCCCATTATACCATCCCCTTTTAAAAAACCTTATTTACTTTTCATACAACAATAGTTTAGTTATATATTATAGACTTATAGAAAGAGACCTTCTAAAAACGTTAAAATGTATGACTGGGACGCAAAACCTTCAATTAGAGTGAGTAAATGAAGACTCGGCACAGCACTTCTGAAAGGTTGCCGACCCCTGCTGTATTGCATCTTAAAGGTAGGAACATCTGGGCTGCCTGTCCCCACCCCCATGTGCAGGGCAGCCATTTACAGCAAGACGCTGGGGCTGCCAGCCCACGGCAGCTGGATCCAGCAGAGCAGGAGCAGGGCTGGGGTCTGCACTGCTTTCACCCCTACCCCGCCAGGAGGGAGATGTGCTATTTTTACCCACCCTCCCCCAGCTGGAAGGGGAACGGGCTGTTTTTACACCCCCCGCTACCGAGAGGGGGACACTCTTTTTTCCTCTCTCTCTCTCTCTGTCTCACGCGCACACACACACACACACACACGAAGGACAAGCTTGCAAAGTCATGCCTGCGCTGAGTAAGGAGCTCAGCTGCTGCTGAAGCCTAGGCTGGAGAGTCAGCCACTGGATCTGCAGCCCAAACTGCGCTTTGTTCAGAGTTACGAACACTTCAGTTACGGACAACCTCCATTCCCGAGGTGTCCCTAACTCTGAGGCTCTATTGTAGTATAACAGTGAGGGCACAACAAAAATCAATATTTTACATATCCCTGCCAATGTGCTTCACAGATGACAGATTGTTTCAGCCCATATATCCATTCACACTTTGATTTAGCAGAGACTAGCACAAATTATCCCAGTTATTATGGTGGAGGTTTTGCCTGCTAGAAATTATATGGAGCCAATGAAGGCCCTCATCCTGTAATACACTATGCACAGGCACTCCACATGGGAACAGTGATAAACCCAGGGTAGAATCAGGGACTAAGCCTAGCCATCTCATGTGAGCCATTTAGTCGTAAAGTAAAAAAGCATTTCAGAGAAAACATATTAAAACAATAAAAAAACCCCTACGTGCATGCTATTAAGCTTAACAGTGATCACCCCTGGTTGGCATCAGTCCTTCCAACCCTTCCCCAAGGATTGGGGCCCTTCTCTTGGACAGAAGGCCCTGTCTGTTTTCCGGAACATAATGAAGCCCCTGAGTCAGCTTAAACTCAGGTTAATTACCTAAAGTCCTTCCTTTGTCTTTGGCTTCTGGAGAATCCAGTGGAACTAGCAGGGATGGCGAGTTATATGGGCCCGTGGTGCCCATGCTCCAGCAAATTCAGGGCCCGGGGCCCCAGCTCCACCAATGTATGGGACCGGGTCTCTCCTCAGGCCCCACCTGCCCCCTCCCCCGAGGGTATCCCGGCCCCCGCGTGCTGTCCCCACGCTTCTCCCCCCAGGTCCCATAGCATCCCTGCCTCAAGCGGGTGGCTGCCCCCTGCAGCTCTGCGCTGCACTCCGCAATGCCAGCTCCTGGCATCAACTGCCGCCGCAAGGTCCCAGTGACCCGCAGCCACTAGTGCCAGGGCCGGTCTGACCCAGGCTGACCCTGCCCTTACGCCTCAGACGGACAGACCCTTCGCTTTTCCAGCGGGATCGTCCACCAACACAGGGGGCCCCCGTGCCCGCAGTCACCGCTCCTGCCCCACGCTGGGCAAGGGGCAGCCCCATCCCCCACCCCCAGCGAGGCTACAGTGAGGGGCAGCAGCAGGAGAGGAGGCGCACATGTGATGGCAGCCCCCCCTGCACCCACCGCAGGGGAGGCGAGGGGGATTCCTGGACCTGAGAGGGGCTCTAAGAGAACGTGCAGTGACAGTGGTGTGAGGTGAGTGTGCTGCCGGGAGTGGAGAGGGGGCTCCTGCCCCAGAGCTCACTGCTGCCGGTGGGGAGAGGGATGGGGGGAATGCTCCTCTCTGGTCTCAGCCGGGGGCAGCCTGCCTGCACCCCAAACTCATCCCCGGCCCCACCCCACCCCAGAGCCCGCACCCCCAACCAGAGCCCTCACCCCCTGCACCCCAACCCTCTGCCCCAGCCCTGAGCCCCCTCCTGCACCAGGAACCTCTCATCCCCGGCCCCACCCTGCAGCCCTCACCCCAGCACCCCTGTTGGGGGGTGGGACTTGGACCTGTTCTTGGGACCACCAATAATTATACAAACCTGCCGCTCCTGTGAACTAGTATAGCTGAGCCTCCCCAGGACGTGGTCCCTCTCTGGATGTGTTATATCCTGAGTGAGTACCCAATCACACTCCACTGTTCTTAGTTCCTGGAGGGCTGTGGTTACTTTCCCCCATGGAGTTACAAACAATCCCTGGCCCACAATGATACATAAACTTAATACAGTAAGAGCTCCCAATGATATTGCAGGAAATTGTCATATCTGTCACAACACCTAATCCAAAAGCTCTAGGTGCCCTGCCATTATTTAAAAATACAAATTATTCAGACCCCAGTCAGCCTTGCCACCTAGATCATCCAGGTGTAATAAAATCACTAAGGGCTCAATTCAGCAAATCACTTCAGCATGTGCTTCACTGTAAGTCTTCACCTGAAATCAATATGCTTTTTGATGAAATCGGACCTTAATGATATGGTGGGGCTAAGCAGCACAGCAATATCTCAATTCCACCTCAGAGCCTCTCCAAATGGTCCCCAAAATAGATTGGCCTTGCAGCATGTCATGAAAGTCAACAGATTCAGGTTATTTTGGACCAAGTGGGGAAATAAACGACAAAGTCAAGGGGCCACCTGGAGAACATCCTGCCACAAGCTCCCTCCTTGTTATACCAAAGTGTGTCTAGCTCAAGTAACTGCTGATCACAGCTGTGGCAATATTAGCCCAAAAGGAATTTTATTTGATAAATTTATTATCAACAACAAAAGGAGTAGAAGGGAAATGGCAATTCAACTTCAAAGCACTATTGGTGGTCCCCAGAACAGGTCCAAGTCCCACACCCCATGCAGTACATCTATGCACCATTATAAACAGTTGACATTTACAGTTACTTACCATTTTATGCAATCTCTCATTGTCATAAAGAATTTAAACATAAAAGTAGAATGATAGCAAGATTATGTCAAATTACTCAGAAACTGATCAAAGGGCAATATCTAATATACATACCACTAAGAACTCCTTTTTGTCGACCATCTCATTGCCATCAGTATCAAACATGTTGAAAGCTATTTTAAAACCTGCATGAGGCTCTGCCAGAAAAAGAATATGACTGTCAATTATTTGCAAAAATTGATGATAAAAGTTTAACCTTTATGAATATGAACTGAATATTTTAGACCAGATCCTCCACTAGTGTAAATCAGTATAGTTGTGCATATATAAACAGTGTATAACTGACTTACAGCAGCTAGAGATCTCACCTTATACATTTGTTTCACTTTCAACATTTCAGAAACTGAATGCACACCTCAAAGTTCATAGATTAAAAAAAGGGGGGGGGTAAAACATCTTGGAGCAGTGGCTGGTTTGGTATTGAGGAGGGAGAAGCAATCACGCATGGCTATTCCCTGTTGTCATCTCCTGAGGGTAGGGCCAATGTTCCTCCCAGAGTCATTGTGGAAACTGAGGAAAAACCCATTGTGTGTGTGGGGGGGAGGGTGGCGCTGGGGAGGGGAGGTTATGTGCTTACAGTATTAGGAGATTTAAAATATATATATATATATATATATTTACAATACTGCTTAATTGAAGTGAGGATCAGCTGTGGCACTGAAGTCCAAATAGTGATTCTGAAAAGATATATATCTGATTCCACATTTCTGATCTGAAAATTATGTTGATTGGAATGTCAGATAAATAGAGACTATCATGTTGCTGGCACAATGCACCTTAATTCAAAGCCAGCTTTACTCAGCAAAAACACACACAGCCAATCCATTTGTACAACTTTTGCTTGGAAAAGCATGACCCATCAAAATTAGTTAATAAGCCCCCCCAAACTTATAAGGTTTTTGCAATGATGAAATATCATCCAAATTTTAACTTACAATCTTGTTACCTTCAATTTTATAAAAACTGGCTTCTACTATCCAGGAACAAGAACTTGCTAAGGACAATAAGAGAAACAACAGACTGACCAAGGTGAAATCCTGAACAGCATTAGGTGAGAAGTGACAGTCTTAAAGACAACCTTATCTTAGTGGAAGAGAGTAAACAGGCTCTCTTTTAAAATACCCTACAAATCACTCATTGTTGTCTTTAAAAGCTTTGGAGACAGCCAGAAGAAATGACATCTTAAGAGAATACAGATAAAGACTAGTAAAGACTAAACAAGAGAATTCAAAAGCCAGGCTATATTAGAAGCCTATGTAATAAACCTTTTAAAAATCTAGCAATATCAAAGTAAGCAAACAATTTAGTATCTTGTGAATTATGGCAAAAAAACAAACGGGGCAGCAAATGAAATTTAAGATATCACTCACAGAACAGATTTAACAAGGAAATATATTTAGAGGACACAAGGAAAAGGGAAATAGGGACAAGGCAAGTAACAGAATCTCAAGACCAGGAATAACCAAGAGCTGTAAGGTTTCAGAGTAGCAGCCGTGTTAGTCTGTATCCGCAAAAAGAAGAACAGGAGTACTTGTGGCACCTTAGAGACTAACAAATTTATTAGAGCATAAGCTTTCGTGGACTACAGCCCACTTCTTCGGATGCATATAGAATGGAACATATATTGAGGAGATATATAGATTGGCCTCTCAGAGTTGGCAAGACAACTCCCACCTGTTCACGCTCCCCGCACGCGTGTATACACATCTCCTCAACACATGCTCCACTCCACATGCACCCGAAGAAGCGGGCTGCAGTCCACGAAAGCCCACGCTCCAATAAACCTGCTAGTCTCTAAGGTGCCACAAGTACTGGGGGAAAAATCAGTTTGGGTCAGTTGAAATATTTCATTTTGATAATTCTGAAACATTTAATTTTGATTTAAAAAAACAGCAAATACTATAAATTAATTTATATTTCAAAACAAAAAGTTATTTTGAATCAAAACATTGACTTTTTTTTTTTAAATGTCCAGATGGGATGTTTTGACAAATTCAAAAGTTTGTCTTATTCAAAAGTTTTCAACACAGGAATTTGTCAAAAAACTTACCCTTTCCCATGCATACTTTGTGTTTTGCTGAATCGGCATTTTTGAGAGAACAATTCCGGACCAGTTTTTATGACAAGTCCATTGTGGCATCCTAATGGCAATTAATACGGTAAGGTACAAGGGTCTGGGACTTTGCCAGATTTCGTACTTGTAAAGCACCATGCACACCCACAGTGCTGTTTAAATAATAATGAATAACAATGCCAGTAGTAATAATAAGAACGGGAGTACTTGTGGCACCTTAGAGACTAGCAGGTTTATTGGAGCGTGGGCTTTCGTGGACTGCAGCCCGCTTCTTCGGGTGCATGTGGAGTGGAGCATGTGTTGAGGAGATGTGTATACACACGTGCGGGGAGCGTGAACAGGTTGGAGTTGTCTTGCCAACTCTGAGAGGCCAATCTATATATCTCCTCAATATATGTTCCATTCTATATGCATCCGAAGAAGTGGGCTGTAGTCCACGAAAGCTTATGCTCTAATAAATTTGTTAGTCTCTAAGATGCCACAAGTACTCCTGTTCTTTTTTCAAGAGCTGTAAAGTCTTCTTCTGTTTAGCACTGTATTACTTATGTTAAGCAAATAAAAGCTGATACACATGCACTCTCCCCCATCCCACTGAGCTCGATTATATTTCAAAAGCCTAGCAATTAAATATAAGGGGACAGATTCACCCTATGTGTAACTCCATTGACTTTTATAAGAATTAATGTCTCACCTGAGGACAGAAAGTATCAAATGACTTGGAAATAATAATAAGAGGCTAATAGAACATTTTGGTATACCAAAGTACCAGTAATTTATTAACTAGAGAGGTTCAGAGAATTACGAATACCATTTCCTTTCAACTTCTAAATGCCAAGGCAGGACTAGAAAAAAAATGGAGACTAAGATGTTAAATGAATCCTTCAGAGAATCTTCCAATACGATTTTCCTTTTAAAATATCAAATGACATTTTTATTAAACTGACTGGCCAAAAGTTTGGTTGGAAAAAATAGATCTCCCATTGACTAAAGAGATGCTGTTATGTGCCCTTGGTCAGGACTTAAAGCTACCAACTAAAACAATCCATACTCATGTTCCCTGATATTGGCAAGAGGAACAGCTGACAAGCCAATTTAAAGCCCAGTCCTATGGCCATATATTCCATCTCTATAAAAAGGTATGCAATGATTGCATTTACTCCACATGTACACCATTATTCTAGTAGGTCTCTTTAGTACTTGGAAAGAAGAATTGAAAACCCAGTCATATTAGCCTAAACTCAAAAGTTTATTACATTATTCAGTTTAGTAATAATTTCTTGCCTTTACATGTGGCCCTGTGCAATGATGGGCTAAAGCCCTCTTCTAACTCTGCCATAGTTACCTAAAAATGGCATCAGTTCATAACCTCAGCTGTTTGGATTTTGAAAATTCCAGTTTAACTTCTACCATTCAGACATTTGAACAATTTTATTCTTCAGTCAACAAATGGATAAGGCACCTCCCATTCACTTCTTACCTATGATAAAGAATCTCATTTTTGGTCAGACACTAGTCCATTTTATGGATATTATCTGTAATGGAAAACAAATTCAGGGAAGCTCCTCAACCAAAATATTCTAGAGCAGGGGTAGTCAATAGGGAGACTGTGGGAAAAATCCAGATTGCTAGATGCTTTTGACCAGACCACAAAGCTCTGGGGTGCCATGAGCAGTTACTGTGTGTGGGGGGGTCTAGTGCAGGTAGAGGAGTGACTGGCTGTGTGTTGGTGGGTTCGGAGGAGCTGGCGCCCGGGGCTGACTCGTAACTGGGGGGGGGGTAGGTTCCCCCCGACCTCCCTAAATGAAGCCCCGCCAGGTGCACTGGAGCTCGGAGCTTCAGCCCCTGCTGGGAAGTACTGGGGCTTCAGTCCCTGCCGGGCACACTAGGGTTCAGACCTTCAGTGCATCCCCAAATTACAAGTCAGCGCCAGGTGCCTGTTGGGCTCCTGCTGTCAGCACTGGGTGCCTGCCAGGGCTCCATTTAGGGAGGTCTGTGATCAGAGAAAAAGGGTTCCTCAGCAAATAGTATCTTAGGCAGTCCATAGCCCACTTCACTGCTGCGGCCTTTTTCTCAATGATGAATACACTTTCTCTCTGGAGAAGAGCTTTCAGCTTATGTAGAACATGGGGTTTTCTTCTCCCTTAACTTCTTCTGAAAGAAGAGCCCCTAGCTCTACATCTGAGATATCAGTTTCTCATATAAACCTCTTTGAAAAGTCTGGATTAAAAAGAACTGGGTTCTGACACATACAATCCTGTATACATGATTCCATGCTTACAGTCGAGAATTCTTGCATGAAATGCCCAAATAAATGAAGCACCGTTGTGGTTTTTGTGTTTGATTTTTAAATTCCAAAGATGACTTTTAAAAGCCTACTATTTGAAGTTAACAAAACTTCTAAAACTAGTTTGTAAATTTTTAATTTACAAATCTAAAATCTCAAACAAATGTGTTAGTTATGGAAAATCTATACTATACATAATTGACTCTAGTACAATCAAACAATTACACCTTCTACATTCTTCTATATTGTTTTTCCAGGTGGAAGACTAAACAAATATTTAATTTTGTTGGTATTTGTTGTTTACAAATAAATGTTTGGCTCAGTTTCAACAGATTTTTTAAAACTATGTAAGCGGATATCATACATAGATTGAAAAATAATATTTACAATTTATGTATCTCTCTCCATCTTCAAAAGTCCTTTATAAACTTTAATAAATTTATCTAACAATTATGCAGCAATTTCAGAGGACTGAGATTATACACTACAAACTGATGTTCAATTCATCTGATAATCCCTAATCTCTCATTTTCAGTAAAGGGTGCTTTATGTAATACAACACTTCAGTTGAAATGTTACGAGATTACACTGGGACAATACAGTGGCCAAGTTATATGGAAAAGATGCATGTGATTTTTTTCCCCATATAATTAATATAATTTTTGGAATAAATTCAGAATCTTACATAAGAGCATATAAGAACATAAGAATGGCCATATTGAGTCAGACCAAAGGTCCATCCAGCCCAGTATCCTGTCTACCGACAGTGGCCAATGCCAGGTGCCCCAGAGGGAGTGAACCTAACAGGTCATGATCAAGTGATCTCTCTCCTGCCATTCATCTCCATCCTCTGACAAAGAGGCTAGGGACACCATTCCTTAGCCACCCTGGCTAATAGCCATTAATGGACTTAACCTCCATGAATTTATTTTAAACCCTGTTATAGTCCTAACCTTCACAACCTCCTCAGGCAAGGATTTCCACAGGCTGACTGTGTGCTGTGTGAAGAAGAACTTCCTTTTATTTGTTTTAAACCTGCTGCCCATTAATTTCATTTGGTGGCCCCTAGTTAGTTCTTATATTATTAAATATAAATTATATTATATTAAAAGTAAATAACTTTTCCTTATTCACTTTCTCCACACCACTCATGATTTTATATACCTGTATCATATGCCCCCTTAGTCTCCTCTTTTCCAAGCTGAAAAGTCCTATCCTCTTTAATCGCTCCTTATATGTGACCCGTTCCAAACCCCTAATCATTTTAATTGCCCTTCTCTGAACCTTTTCTAATGCCAGTATATCTTTTTTGAGATGAGGAGACCACATCTGTACACAGTCTTCAAGATATGGGCGTACCATAGATTTATATAAGAGCAATAAGATATTCTCCATCTTATTCTCTATCCCTTTTTGAATGATTCCTAACATCCTGTTTGCTTTTTTGACTGCCTCTGCACACTGCGTGGATGTCTTCAGAAAACTATCCATGGTGACGCCAAGATCTCTTTCCTGATTAGTTGTAGCTAAATTAGCCCCCATCATATTATATGTATAGTTGGGGTTATTTTTTCCAATGTGCATTACTTTACATTTATCCACATTAAATTTCATTTGCCATTTTGTTGCCCAATCACTTAGTTTTGTGAGATCTTTTTGAAGTTCTTCATAGTCTGCTTTGGTCTTAACTATCTTGAGCAGTTTAGTATTATCTGCAGTCTTTGCCACCTCACTGTTTACCCCTTTCTCCAGATCATTTATGAATAATAATATATGGAGATATACTTATCTCATAGAAGTGGAAGGGACCCTGAAAGGTCATTGAGTCCAGCCCCCTGCCTTCACCAGCAGGACCAAGTACTGATTTTGCCCCAGATCCCTAAGTGGCCCCCTCAAGGATTGAACTCACAACCCTGGGATTAGCAGGCCAATGCTCAAACCACTGAGCTATCCCTCCCGCCTATAAAGTGAATAGGATTGGTCCTAGACCACTAGTTACCCCTCTCCATTCTGAAAATTTACCATTTATTCCTACCCTTTGTTCCCTGTCTTTTAACCAGTTCTCAATCCATGAAAGGATCTTCCCTCTTATCCCATGACAACTTAATTTACGTAAGAGCTTTTGGTGAAGGACCTTGTCAAAGGCTTTCTGGAAATCTAAATACACTATGTCCATGGATCCCCGTTGTCCACATGTTTGTTGACCCCTTCAAAGAACTCTAATAGATTAGTAAGACATGATTTCCCTTTACAGAAACCATGTCGACTTTTGCTCAACAATTTATGTTCTTCTATGTGTCTGACAATTTTATTCTTTACTGTTGTTTCAACTAATTTGCCCGGTACTGACGTTAGACTTACCGGTCTGTAATTGCCGGGATCACCTCTAGAGCCCTTTTTAAATAGTGGCGTTACATTAGCTATCTTCCAGTCATTGGGTACAGAAGCTGATTTAAAGGACAGGTTACAAACCATAGTTAATAGTTCCACAATATCACATTTGAGTTCTTTCAGAACTCTTGGGTGAATGCCATCTGGTCCCAGTGACTTGTTACTGTTAAGTTTATCAATTAATTCCAAAACATCCTCCACTTACAAAATTGCAGTGAGTTTTTTTCAGAATACTTACTTGTTAAGATACAAAGGAGAAACAGATATTCTGTGTAGGAAATCAAACCTAGAAACAAAAAAAGTGTCATGTCATATCAACTCTAATGAGCCTTCATTTGTCAAGCTTGAAAAATTAGAGTTTTCTTTCTTTTCTTTTCTTTTCTTTTTTATTAACACATATATATATTACAACTGGACAAAATTGTTCAGATGAAACTTTTTCAGTCAGAAAGCAGATTTAGGTTGACTGAAACATTTTGCAAATTCATGTAGATTCCAGCAAATTGTTTCAGTCAAAAAAGAAATTCCCAAAAAGTCAAAATGAATCATTTCAACATTAACAAAATGAAATCTTTTTCAGGCAAGATTTCACACAGGGATCTAGGCATTATTCACAAAAAAAAGGGGGGGGGGCACTGTCACCCTCCTTATAACCTTTAGTGCAATGATTAGGGTACTCATTTGGGAAGTGGGAGACCCAGGTTCAAATCTTCACTCCAGAGCAGGGACTTGAACCCAGGGCTCCACTCCTTCTAGGTAAGTACCATAACAACCAGGCTATTGGGCATTCTAAAGGGGGGGGGGGCTCTCTTACTCTGTCCCATTGAAGCTGTTCCACTTTTTATAAAATACTTGAACAGTCATTGAGGCGGGAAGAGTGAAAATGAATGACTATCTATAGCAGGGGTTGGCAACGTTGGCACGCGGCTCGCCAGGGTAAGCACCCTGGCGGGCCGGGCCAGTTTTATTTACCTGCTGACACGGCAGGTTCGGCCGATCGTGGCCCCCATTGGCCGCGGTTCGCCGTCCCGGGGCAATGGGGGCGGCGAGAAGCGGCGCGGGCGAGCGATGTGCTGGTAACTGGCCCGGCCTGCCAGGGTGCTTACCCTGGCGAGCTGTGTGCCGAACGTTGCCGACCCCTGATCTATAGCCTTGTACTCAGGACACTCACCTGGGAGGGAGAACACCTACATTCCAATTCCTGCTTCAATGAATATTTATTTATACAAAATGGAACAGCTTCAAAAGGAGAGATTGAGAGAGCCCCACACTAGAACAGGCAGCCAATGGCCTGGTGGTTTAGGCACTCTGCTCCAGACCTAGGCTGTCCACATTCCAGGTGATTGCTCTAACCCAGTGGTTCTTAACCTGGGGTGCACACACTCCCTGGGGGTGTGAGATGCCCTTTCTTGGGGTGCGAGACATGCCAAAAAATTTTAGAACGTAAATCATCAAAAACACAAATTAAGCACAGGCACCATTTTTGATAAGGGGTGCGAGAACATATTTTGAGAACCAAAGGGGTGCAGGCTGTAGTAAAGGTTAGTAAAGAACCACTGCCACTGGACTAATGGTTATAAATCCCAGGGTTATAAATCACCTCCTCCTGTTTTCCAAACGTAGCCCTTCATTTTCTTTATCTTTTAGAACAAGTTAAAAATACCCAAAAGGTATTTCAATGTGAGATTAATTTCTGATATTTTGGAACTGTCAGAAAACCAAAATCTCTCTCTCTCTCTCGCCAGCAGAGAGTGGTTTGTAGTCCAGGTAAGTTGTTCTACAAATACACTTCAGCCTTACTACTAAGACACTAGGTTAAACATAGATTAGTCTCATCCCTTGAAACTAATGTGTATGGTGCATTACATCAAGTTTTTCCAAAACCCCAACTATGACACATGGAAGTATCTTATGGTAGTATACAAAGGTTTCAAATTACAATTAAAACTGTGTTCTCTCCTGATGTCAGCTGTTTAAATATGTTCAAGCTTGGGTCATAATTTTACTAAATGTTAGTACACATATCTTGTTAGGAATTTTGATTCTCACATTGCTTAACAATACACAGATTTTAGTATTTAGCTGCCTCTGTGTATCCATACATACGCTCTAATTATGCTTTGAATTTTACATTCAGCTCTTATTAGATGAGCTTATACATTTTAATTAAATACTGATTTTTAAGGCTTTGTTAAAAAGTGTAAAGTCTGAACTATTTACTGATTTAGATATATATGAAGTGCCTATTCTAGGCCTCTCAATACTTTTGCGATACGTTAAAAATCCAATCACAAAAAATTCTGAACTAGCATCTGGTTCTTACTGCAGAAAATAATTAATCAGGATTGAATTCAACATCCATATTATACGCCCATTACCACAAATTGCGCTCCTTCTTCCCCAAAAGCCTAGGTAAATAGATAATCTTGCAGCGTGCCCAGAAGGTCAGTGAATTAGGGGTATTCTGGACTCTTTTCAAAATGGGCTGCTTAAGGAACAATTATTGCCTTGAGGGTCTACTGGAAAGGCTTTAGCTCCATTAATCTTTAAGGACAGACCACCAACCTGGTTCCTAGTCCCCAACATGATAGGAGGGGCACTATCTCAAAAACATAGGAGTTATGAGTTAGTCTATAATACTGGCCAAACTTCAAGGGCCAGATTTTTTCAAGTATTTAAGTGCTGGCTGAAGATGCAGGTGCCTAGTGGGATTTTCAAAAGTGCCTACACACCTAACTCCCATTTATTTCAATGCAAGTTAATCACCTGTGTGCTCCTGAAAATCCCATTAATCTCCTATCTGCATCTTTAGGTGCCTACATACCTTTAAAAATCTAGCCCCAAACGACTAACTTCCAAACCCAAACCAAACACCTGACTAGCTGTGAGAGTTGAACCAGGAACCACCTGGAATTTTTTCATGGTCATCACAGTAGCTGTGAAATCCAAAGCTCATTCCAACAATTTGTCATCCATACACATGTTAAAATCACTGACTGCTATTAGCCTTGGTACCTCCAAGGTGGGTCAGCAGCTCATACGGACAATTTGCAGCACATCAGCTGGAACTCCTGAATTTATTCCAACTCAAATGCATCCTGGGAATCGCACAAAATGAACATATTGTAATCAATCTAGCCTGGGTGCAGGAAACTTCCAGCTTTTCAGGCTGCATACAGAAATCATGCAGAGTAGATCTTCACTTGTCTTCTTTAGGCTAATACTGTACAGAATACCTAGCTTGAGCCAACTGTACCCAAACTGGTAAAATGGTAACACCCAGCCAATGTTTGCTAGTACGTACAAGCCTTGGGGACTCAAATTAAATCATGGACTGTTGAAACTTTAGCTACTGATCTTGCACCTATCAGTATGAAGCTAAGACTGGAATTTTTGTCCTTAACTATAGGCAAAACCAGTGAAACAGAGATTATGCATTTTGACTTCACAAGGTATTTTCCTGATTTGTCTCCTCCCATACATGAATATAGGAACGGAGGAATCCAAACACTCACAATTAATTCTCTGTATACAATACTACCATATTCTCTACACACACCAACATTTTTCAACACTTTTGGCCCCCTGCAGTGGTTAGTGAATGGTCATAGCTGCCACACCTCAATGCTAGACCAAGGATCTTCAATGCGGGCTACAAAGCCAATCTAAAAAGACTATTCACTCTCCCAAACACCTTTACCAATAACACCCTAAAACTTCAACTCCGTTACCTTCAGAATCACTCCCTAAATATTCTCCAATACAACAGATCACATAATAATTCTACACCCAGGCCATTTATCCTAAAAGGGCAATGCTTCCATGATGGATATGTCTCCTACCCTCAAAAAACAAGAAAAAATACCCAGATAATTTTGGTCCTTACCACTGAGGCTGGAATGTGGGGATAATGTAAAAGGAAGGCAGTTGATTAAGCTATCATTTAATCACACCAAACCACCTAGGGTTTCACACCCCCAAATGAACCCTTAAACACACGTAAATTCACCAAATTTGAACCTCTTTCCTCTCCCGCCCTAGCTGCACCCCTAATTTCAGAAAATAAAATAAACAAACATATTAATTCTTCTCCCACTTCCCCAGTTTAAATGGAAATCCCTGGAGTAAACCTCCTGATGCCGCTGGTGGTTGTGGTGGTGCTGCTAAAGTAGGGAAGGCTTCTAAGCAGTTCTAATACTATCCATTTTCCTTATAAGTCAGTATCTCACTCCCCCCCCTCCCAAATTGTGGATTTGTAAACAAAATGTAACTACTTCTGCTAGCACTTCAAATTTAAAAGCAGTTACTCTAATAATAAATACAACCATGTATTCTGTCTTGTGTCATCTAGATTTCGTACAGCACCTAAGAAACTGAGAATTACTGTTATGTGTCAAAGGCCAGTTCCAATTTTTCATTAGGTCTGTAACTACTTGGAAGGTCAGCTACCTAGAGATCAAATGCGGCTGAGATATAGATAAAGGGATGTAAAACACCCTTGAGTAATCAGTCAAATGTAAATTATTTTACAGATTGTTTTTCAGTGTTTGATACCACCTTCTTTGTTGTAAAACAAAGGAAGAGCAACTGTGAAGTAGTATGTCAGCAGACATGAAGGGAGCTATCTAGGAGGCCTTGAAAGCATTCCCTCCTTTTGTTTATACTAGTATATTGCAACCTATGGACAGATAGTTCTGGTTGACTGCCCTGAGTGTTATGGGAGAAAGATTCTGGAATGACTATTGCTCAGAAAGAAGGGTTAACTTGAAGACCACATAGAAGGTGCAGAGATCACTTGAGGTGAAAATAATTCAAATAAAAAGCCCTGGGCCCTATCCTTATCTGGTGTAAATTGGTGTAGCTAAATTGATTTCAATGAAGCTCTGCCAAAATACACCAGCTGAGGACCTGTCCATCTACATACTTGATATCAAAACGCATATATTGTAGCAATAAAGCAATAAAGCCTAATGGAGAGGCAGTGTGAACTAGGGGATTAAGACTGGATTAGGACTCTGGAGATCTCGATCTATTCCTATCTCTGCCTTTGGCATGTTATCTCTCCGCCTCTCAGATTCCTCATCTAGAAAATGGAGACAATGATACCTCTTTTGTAAAGTACTTTGAACCTACTAATTAAAAGCACTATTATTAGTCTACCACTTTGCTCCAAGTTTACACCATATTAATTTCAACTGACTCTCACTGACAGAAAACATTGGTGAATCAGATGCAGAAATTTTAGAGACATGTGTATTACACAATTCACAAAACTTATTGGATACGCTTTTTAATGGAGAATATTGATATAATAGGTTCTAAAATAGTTCAATAAAGAATTCAAATAACGTAGAGACATAGTTGTTTTGTCTGTGTGGAATTTGGAGTTGAATCAATTGCTCCAAGAAATACCATTGTGGGTTGCAAACAGAAAAAAAAGTTACGGAAGCTTTCTTAGAAGAGTTATTTATATTGCATATGTGATTGCCTATTATATGGTAATGTTTACATTATTCAGATTATATCTGGGTCTTTTAAAAGTAGAGTCACATCAACAACTATCAATAGAACATACGATGTAATTCTCAGTTGATATGAAGATTATTTTATTATCAAATACTGATAAGAAACAAGCACCTTGTGCTTTCTCCCATGTTGCCTCATGCTTGGGAGGATCTGCCTGTAAGTATCCACAAAGCTACTTCACTATACTCTTTCAAATCTCTTCTTTAAAATCTCCTTTGCTGTGATGTCCCCCCAAAAATTGACAATGACTCTTCCACTAGTGTGCTGAGACCACTGCCTATCATGCCAAATGCAATAGAGCCCTTGTAGGGTTAGGTGGTCTACTGGATAGCACACTCAGTATCGCCTCTCAGCAGGAAAGCCCTTCAGTCCAGTTCCTCACCCAAGGATGGGTTTAGCTTCCTCTTAGGTTTTCAATGTCCTTGCCCTTTTCTTATCAGACATGCAGTAAGAGTGGCATGTGGCTTACGCCCCCTCCTGCAGCAGGGGAATTAGGCAGGGGAGCCTGTATGTGTTCCCCCCCATTATTAATTAAAGTGTCATTTAGCATGCAATTTAGTCAAACTTTTAATTAAATAATTCCTTTATATTTTACTTCACTACTTTTCTAAATTGAAGGTACATTTGATGTAGCTATCCAGTTTTGCACCTTGTATCATGCAAATAATTTAATATTGCTTTCATGTGAACTGCACAGGAACTTCTCAGCCTAACAAAGTAGTTGCATAGTAAGGTATCTTTTAATAAAGGATAGGTCACCAAAAACAAAAATAAAAAAGTGTTCCTGGAATTCTGCAACAGCCTTGCATGAAGGAGATATACTTAAGGACTGAGGAGTAACACAGTTAAAATATATAAATAAATATATGGTTTTAACAAATGTTATGTGAAGGGTGAGAAAGGCAATTCCTATAGTTAAATATTTAAAATTTGAGCCCTAATTTTAATACTAGTTCTTACAGAATCTTTACTTATGTATGTATATTTTTCAGTGGAATAAGGAATATGTAATAAATAATAGTTATACCTCATGTAGTGCTTTTCATCAGTAGAGCTCAAAGCATTTTCCAAGATTGGATGTTTTACAGATGGAAAAACTGAAGCACGGTTACTTTGCCCAATGTCTCAACTGGAAATAGAACCCAGATCTCCTGAGTCCTAGCACATTGTTCTAAGCACATAACTGAACCAATGTTTATAAACATTTTAAAAATGAAATTTTTGTGTTTCATTTAGATGATCTAAATCTCATTTTTATGGAGCCAAATTCTTCAGAGCAGAAAGTATACTATGGTCATTTCTCTTGCAGGCATAACATATTTATAAGGTGCACAAGAGCTATGCACAGGACAGGTTCCACTGCAACTTTATACATGCTAAGTGTACTTGCTACATACTCTCTAGTTTTGAAATATTCTAAAGTTCATATGAATGGACTTAGGTACGGTAACTTCTCATTTAACGTCATCCCGGTTAACGTCGTTTCGTTGTTATGTTGCTGATCTAGTAGAGAACATACTCATTTAAAGTTGCGCAATGTTTGCTTATAATGTTGTTTGGCTGTGGGGGCTTGGTACCAGGGTGGGCCAGCAAGCCCCCTATCAGCTCCCCTCCACCCTCCTCAGCGCTTCCCGCCCGCCGGCAGCCCCGTGGGTCAGCAACTCCCCTCTCTCTCCCTGCGCCTCCCACCTGCAGCAATCAGCTGTTTCAAGTCATTCAGGAGGTTTGGGGGGGAGGAGTGAGGACACAGTGGGGTGGGGCCTTGAGGGAAGGGGTGGAGTGGGGGCAGGCCTGGGGCAAAGCTGGGGGTTGAGCACCCCATGGCACTTTGGAAAGAACAGCAAGAGGAGCAGCCGGACGATCCACTCTCTTTCACCCTCTGACTCCACCACCTCAACCAAGCTTCACAATCATCATTGGTGAGTACAGTATTAAATTGTTTAAAACATATACTGTATATGTCTTTTGTCTGGCAAAAAAAATTCCCCTGGAACCTAACTTCCCCATTTACATTAATTCTTTTGGGGAAATTGGATTCGCTTAACATCATTTTGCTTAAAGTCACATTTTTCAAGAACATAACTACAACCTTGAGTGAGGAGTTACTGTATAATAAATCCTGAAGCTTTAAAAAAAGAAAAAGCCTTATTTCAGGGCTTCAGTGCCTCTCTTCGATTTAATGCTGACAATAGTGAGCAGCAAATGGTTTTCATGACCATGAAGTTGAGGTATACTGCAACATTTTTAGTACCGTTCCAAAGATGAGCTTAGTTTTGGGGGTTTCTTTATAGCTTTATTATAAATCTTTAGTTCAGTTTGAAACCTAACAAAAACTGAACAGCAGTCATCCCAATATTGGTATCTGGCAACAGCACAGAAAAATGCCTCCAGCCCCAATACTCAGAGAGGACTTAACTCTTCCACGGTCTCATTCTAACAAGAATCACCAGCTCAGGCAGACTAGTATTTCAAGATCACTTTATTCAACCTGCTGTAATAGATAATATTTTTGTTTGTACCATCTTGTAATAGTTGTCTGACTTAACTAATTTAAGGCCAGATTTAATTAAAAACTCCATGAGTCTTCGGCTACTGTGGAAATAAATGCAAGACTAAATAGATTAATTTGGATGGCTTTTACAAGTTTCCATAGTACAGAAACCAGCAGGTTTTTAGTGCATATGTATTTTTTTAAAAATATGCCAGATTATATCTTTTCCAGGGCCGGCTCCAGGCACCAGCTTGCCAAGCAGGTGCTTGGGGTGACCACTTCGGAGAGGGGTGGCACGTCCAGCTATTCAGCGGCAATTCCGCAGACGGTCCCTCACTCCCACTCGGAGGAAGGACCTCCCGACGAATTGCCGCCGCAGATCGCGATCACAGCTTTTTTTTTTTGTGCCGCCTGAGGCGGCAAAAATCCTGGAGCCGGCCCTGATCTTTTCCCAATAATTAATGTGACGTTTGATGGTCAGAAGCTATGAAGATTTTCAAGAAATCAAAACCTTGATCTGCAGAATTTTAGAAATTGCTAATGCATAAATCTAATTTTCTTGATTAAAGAGTTGATGTAATATATGGGATTTTAGAAGTTACCAATTAGTGTTGTGGTGAACATGAATAATTGTGAAGTTTTTCAAGGAAATCAATACACATTACTATCTTTGCATCTACCAAAACTGAAAGTCATTCTGTATCCTTTAATTTAAAGTATTTTATCTCTGTCTCTTTTGCAGGTAATTCTCATTAGAAGGACAAAATTAAACTTGAAACATTTAAATACCAATACAACACACTTCAAAAAACTGTTCCAGATTCAGATAGTACTATATATAGCGATCCTACGGCAGCTGCAATCATGATCAAACAATGCAGATGTTGAAGGAAACTTTGCTAGTCTCTAAAATGTAAAAGACAACTGTTTTCCCTCTTTTTGGAAAAAAAATTAAGGGTTCAGCTTAAAAGTACATATTTTAGCAACAATATTTCTACTATACAGAATCTAAAATAGATGTAGTAAAGTCATTCAGTAAAATAAATCTTCCTCACCTTTCTCTCTAAGATTACGGAAAAGTTTTGATGATCCTTTCCAAACTGGTGGTGTCTCTATAAGTATCTGATTCAATTCCTGAAAGAAAAAAAATATTAAAAAACACAAAGTAGTTGGTAAAGTCGTTATCAGATTAAATAGTGAAATCTAAGAAACCAAGACCAGAGACAAGTAATTTTACACAAACTTCCTATTTAACTTAATTCCCAGCATATGGCAGTTATAATAAAGCTATAAAGAAACCCCCAAAACTAAGCTCATCTTTGGAACGGTACATGGGCCCTGATCCAGCAAACACTTAAACACAGTGTAAGGTTAGCTCATGTGAGTAGTCCTGATACCAGGCTCATGAGCAAATCTGTATTCATAGTTAACAGTTTGTAGGACTGGGGTCTTATATGTAACTCAGTACACCTTATGCATGACTGAACTTTTCCATTTGTTGCTACAACTCATTCACTAACGTATTTTTATTGGGGGACTGATCCATAGCCATTGAAGTCAATGGAAAGACTCCACTGGAAAGACTTCAATGGTTTAGGCCCCAAATTTGGTTGCATTGCTTTTATGTCTAACTTCACTTACACCAAAACAAATTTTACACTAGAAACCTGATAATGGGCTTCTTCAGGCTTACAAGTCATTCAGCACCTTGCAGGGATACCAGGATAGATTCTGCTCTCAATTACACCCATGAAAAGTGCAAATCAAACTGCAATAATTCCAATAAAGTCAATAGACATATAACAATTTAACACCAGTATCAATAAGAGCAGAATTTTGTCAGCTGAGCACCCTCAACTTCTGCTGAGTTTCACAGGAGTTGAGAATGCTCAGTACTCTCAAGAGGCATTCCCACACCTTGCAGGAATGGGTCACATGAGTTTTACACATGCAGTCAGGGAGAAGAAACATATTATGGAACCTTCATATCCATAACATTTTGATTTTCAAATCATCACTACAAGCTTCTGGTAAATAATCTACAGAACAATAATTATTTGCAGAAATAATTTCAGATAATTAAATCTATTAAAATCATGATTTGTTCCGGGACAATGCACAAACAGAAAGTGCTACAATTTGTCAAACGGTTTTCTAAAAATTATTTACTTATCTCTACTCCTGGTAATCTGGTTAATTACTATATTAAAATAAATTGCAGATTTTTGATTATTAATAATTAACAACAAAAAATAAATTTTAAGTGAGAACAGATTTTACTGTAATCTAACTGCAGTAGAGTAAACAAAAAAAGTGTAGAATTTATATTATTTATTGAAGGCAATCCAGTTGGAGAGATACACATGATAAGGTAACCAAACTAAAGATCCTGTCTGGGAACATTGTACAAAAACAAAAGAGCTTGCTACTTTTAGATCTGGTGCCATTTCTTCCTAATAAAGTGCTCAGTCATGCAACTGGGTCTACATGGGTGCAGAAGTCTGCACAGTCCACTCGGAGGATCAGAGCATGAACCTCGTTTCAGATTAACCAGAAGCATAATGGAAGCCAAACAAACAAAAGGCAAATCATTATATTTTGAGATTTATAAAGTGTTGTTGTACCGGTGTTAGTCGCAGGATATTGGAGAGACAAGGTGGGTGAGGTAATGTCTTTTATTGGGCCAACTTCTGTTGGTGAAATCGACAAGCTTTCTTTGGGCCAATAAAAGATATTACCATCCACCCCATCTCGCTGAGATTTATACAGTTAGTTACAATTTTCAGCATATATTTGAGGGATGTGATACATAGTGGGATTGAAAAATGATGTAGAGTTTAAGGCCAGAAGGGACCACAAGATCATCTTGTCTGACATCTGTATATCACAGGCCACCAACACACTAAACACTACACCCAAAAGTAGACCAAAGTATTACAACCTAGGAGACTAAACTATTATGTGAAACAGGCAGAGAATAGCAGGGACTGAGGTGCACCAATTCCTAAGCCCCCTGCAATGGTAGGGAAATGATTAAGTGTGACATACCCAGCAAGTGACTCTCACCTCAGACTGCAGAGCATGGTGAAAAAACCCCTAGGCCACTGCCAATTTGACCTGGGAAAAAATTCCTTCCCAACACCACATATGGCAATAAGTTAGATCCTGAGCATGTGAGCAAGAACCAGTAAGCTAAGCACCTGAGAGAGAAAATGCCGAATGCCAAATCAAAGCACCACCCCATCCACTCTCTCATCTCCAGCTGTGGCCATCTTGATGCTTCACAGGAAACAAGCAAAAAAATTGTATTGGGGGAGATCCCTTCCTGATCCCTGCAAGAGACTGGCCCTGAAGCATGAGATTTTAGGAATAGAAGAAAAACCAGAAGGAACCTCCAAAGGATGCCAAGCCCAGATCCTACAATCACAAGCAACCTCATCACACAATCTGACTCATATATTTATCCAGCTCTCTCTTAAAACTAAGTAAGTTGTTTGCTCCCACAACTCCTATTGGGGAGGCTGTTCCAGAATCTCACTCATCTGATGGCTAGAAACCTTCTAATTTCCAGCCTGAATTTGTTCAGAGATAGTTTATACCCATTTGTCCTTTAGCTTAAATAGTTTTTCTCCCTCCCTGGTGTCTATTCTCCTTATGCATTTATATAGAAAGCAATCATAATCCCCCTCAGTCTTCATTTTGCCATCTGAGCAATTTTAGTCTTCTCTTCTAAAATAAGCTCTTCATTCCCATCATCACCCTAGTAGCCCTTCTTTGTACCTGCTCCAATCTGAATTCCTCATTCTCAAACATGGGTGACCAGAATTACACGCAGTATTCCAAATGGGGTCTTGCCCTATCTCTACGGCAAACACCTCGCCTGATATACTTGCCCTTTTCCATCATGTTGCTGACTTGCATTCATCCTGAGATTGACTAATACACCAAGATCTTTCTCCTCCTTTGCCATATCTGACAGAGACACCCGCAACATACAGCAGAAATTCTTGTTATTAGTCTCTCAGGATATGTTTACCATGCAATACAACATCCATGGCTGGCCCAAGTCAGCTGATTCGGACTCTCAGGGCTCAGGCTGCAGTGCTATAAAATGGTAGTATAAACATCTGTGCTTGGGCTGGAGCCCAGGCTCTGGGACCCCATGAGTGTTTCACCTTGCATTTTGTACTATTAAATTTCACATTATTTCTCTCTCTCCAATTCTCAAGGTATTCCAATTCTTCCTGCATAATATTCCAGTCCTCCTGTGTATTAATGATGCCTCCCAACTTTGTATCATTAGCAAACTTTTTGTGCCATGGTCATTAATAAAAACACTAAATACAATCAGTCCCAAGTTCCTTGAGGAACTCCACTAGCAACCTCCCTCCAAACTGACTGTTCACCTTTCAGAACAAAACACTGCCTTCTCCCCTTTAGCTAGTTCCGTACCCACCTTATAATTCTTGTACTAATGCCCATCTTCTCTAACTATTAATTTCCCATGTGGTACCATGTTAAATGCTTTACTGAAGTCTGTATATTAGATTTACTGTATTTCCCTTATCTAAAAAAATCAGTTTTTTTCCTCAAAGAAGGAAATTATGTTAGTGTGGCAACATGGGTTTACCAAAGGTGCATTGCACTCCATTTTCCATTTGCCTCTATTCATTTAATTATTTTTTCCTTCACAATTTGTTCTAAAGCCTTGACTATGGCTGAGGTCAGACTAACAGGTCTGTTATAAACCAGATCCCTTACCCCCCTCCCCTTTAAAAAAAATATAGGCATGATGTTAGCTATTCTTCAGTCAGAAGGTACTACCCCAAAAAGACTGAAATTTTAAAAATCGTTGCTACCAGACTAGCAATTTTATGTGTCAGTTCTTACAGTATTCTAGAACAGAAATTATCCGGTCCCCCCATTTTGAGTACATTAAGTTTTTCTTCCACTCAGAAGTGGTAATTTCCATTTCTGTAAACTGATTTCCATCAGCCACACTGTCCTTCATGCCCATATTCCATCTTATCATCCTTACTGAAAACCAAGCCAAAGTATTCATTTAGTTTTTTGGCCATACCTAGATTAGTCTCCTCCGCATCCACACTGTATAATGGCCCAACCTCATCCTTCCTTATTCTCTTTATATATAATAAATAAGAGGTTTTTAGTTTTATATAATTTCCTTGGTAAGTGCTAATTCAGCTTGACTTTTAGCAATTCTTATTTTATTCCTACATTTTCTAACTTCTAGCATGTAGATTTCTTCGCTGATCAATCCTTTTTACCATTCCCTATAGGCTCTCTATTTACACTTAGTAACTTTTCTGAGGTGGTGTAGCGGGGTGGTTACCCCGCTCCTGCCCTGAAGGGCTTAAAACGGCCAGGGAGAGGGCTGGGCAGGGAAAAGCTAGGCCCATTGGGGAAGTAGCCACAGCTGGGCTATGCCCCAATCAGGCCCAGCTGGTCCCTATAAAAGGCTGTGAGCCAGAGGCCCAGAGGAAGTCTCTCTCTGCATTCAGAGAGAGAAGGTCCTGGCTGCAGGAAGCTAGAGACAGGGTACCTGAGTGGAGCAGGGCTGGGGAAAGGCAGAGGAGCTGGGGAGCTCCAGCCTGGAAAGCCCCAGGCTGCAGCCTAGCATTGGGCTAAAAGGTACTGGGGGTTGCAGAGGGCAGCCCAGAGGTAGGCCAAGGCAGCAGGTCAAAACCCAACCTTGCCAGTGATGAGTAGGCTGATTCTGCAGTCTGCCCCAGGGCGTGGGGCTAGACGATGACTGGCAGTAGCCTTATACTGAGGCGAGGTGGGAATAGTGGGTGGGGGTTCTCCAAGGAGGGGAGACCCTAAGACTGAAGGGTTACTGGTAGGGGGCAGCACCCCAGGCACAAGGGCACCGGGGCCCAGGGTGGGACACGGGGGCCAGAGGACAGGTGGATCACCAGCTTGCAGAGGGCACTTCAGAGCTGGAATGATCTAATTACCGGAAGTCACCAGCAGGAGGCGCCACAGATGGTTATTCATCCAATTGGGTCTGGAGCCTTTCCCTACAAGTTTTTTCCCCTTGCTTGGGATAAAAATTGCAAATACAGTAAAAGCTGTGTTATCCGGCATTTTATCAACCAGAAAGCTCTATTAAT